AAGTTGAGTACCGAGAGCGCTCTTTCATTTCTTCTATTTTCCTTTTCTCCTCCTTATTCTCTGCTAGTTTTGTATTGCCCTTTACTTACCCAACGTGGTGTTGATATTATCGATTTCTCCCTTGATAGGGAATTCGGCTTGCTTTTTCCCTCAAACAGTCTGTGTGGAAGAATAGGCAATATGGCGTTTCATGTTGGTCACGATCACCCGGGGAAAGTTAGGAGACGAAGTAATTAAGCGATGGATCGTTCCTGGATTCCAGCTTGAATACCCTAAATTGGTCACCCTCGACGAATACAAAATGTTGAACTCTGGAATCACTCACTCTCTATCCTCTTCCTGTTTTTACCCTCTGCCATACGGAAGCTATTCGCACATTAATTTTTCCCTCCTCCAGGCTTCGAGTTCCGCATTAAGCGAGATTGCACAAAGGGAGAATAATTGTAATGAGGAAATTCCGTGATTTCTTTTAACTCGTTGAACTCGTGCGAATTGAAAATAAAATAAATCATCTCAATGATTGAATTAACCATATGAGGTGGAGAATAAATAGAAGAAATAGGCAGTGTTAAAGATAATTCATCGTGCAGAATAAAAGGCAGACGAGCTGGCGCCAGTATAGCCCAGTCCAAATCTCAGGTCAATCAAATAGCTTAAAAGGCTTAGAGTAATATCCAAGACAAGATAAGATGAGATTGAGATGGGCTGTCTAAAGACAACACATCTCAATCGTAAAACTAGTGGTTATGGGCTTGGCGGTGTCAGGAGAGTATTTGTCAGACATCGATTGCCGGACAAGTAGTTTGAGAAAAAGTTGCATCAGACTCACTTGTAAGTGAATATGGCGGGTTGAACCCATGATTCGAATGAGGCAATTATCGAAACAATAGAAAAGCCTGACTCCCCATTGTGATTCACTGTATGGGACATCTCACGAAAGACATGAGGGGAGAAGAAAATGGCAACCCATGATTTCAGGTAGAACCACAATTCATAAAATATTCCACTACCTTTGAGGAGAAAACGCTTCTAGCTATTTATGGGTTTGAATTTACAATTCGCAGGTACAGAATCTTTACCATTCCTCTTTGGGAAATTTTCACTCTGCATTCATTGTGTGCCGTGATTTGGGCACGAAAGCAAACCATTCTACAGTTGTTGGGTTGTCAGAAAATTTAGCAACAGAATAGCAGTTCTGTTTCAGGTTCTGAACAGTATTTCTCCTCTGGTCATTATTCTTCGTCAGGCTGATGCAATTATATTTGGGGAATACTTTTTACATTTGAAAAAATTTTGCATTCAAGGTATATATTGATTCTCCCAACTTTTTTCAAACTCAGCTGAGAAGCAAAATACTTTTTCCCTGGATTCCGTTAAGACGATGTGGTTCTGTGGTGTTGAGAAACTGTGATGGATAAGAGGATTTGCCTCTTCCTGCTCCGCCACTTGGGTGTTCTTTAGCTTCCTTTTTCCACTTTCTTTGGCCACCTTGAAATACCTTGTTTTACCCTCACTCTCGTACCCAAAGAATCATAAAGTTTTATCCCCTCGGGAGTAAGTACTCACTTTCAAGCACACCTAAATATAAATTTTTCCGGGGTTTTTCTCTCATTGAGGATCTCGTGAGAAAAAATTTCACTAGATAATCTCGCGGGACTCCTGTATCACTCGCACGACATGGTTACGATCGAATATGAAATATGATCTCGGCTCTGAGCGAGACAGATGCATATGTTTAGCCCACATATGTGATCATGGGAAAAGGCACTCTGGTTACGGATAACATTATCGCAGAAATTTATCTCGTCCCTCTCTTTCAATAATCTCGATGGGGGAAAGACAATAGATACAAGGGAAAGAGGGTGGAGAGGGCTCGGTCCAATTTCCACTCGTTGAGGCATGGGACAAGAGTGGTAATGCGTTTCTTCCATGTGACACATGGCTGCCTATCGCCGTAAGTGGGTTAATAACGGGAGATTCGGATTTTGGCGAATGGCCAGCGGTTGGCGCCGTACTGGACGATAACGAACGGCAAAAGTATACAGGAGAGATGGTGGAAAAAAGAGAGACTGTTCAAAGAGACCCCAGTTACACTGCCAGCCGAGGAAATTAAGTAAAAAAGCCCTCGCGGACCAGGAGATGGGCATGAAATGCTTCAAATTGCTGAGAAAATTTTTGACAAATTTACCAACGTCATATCTCGTAAAATGATCCTCTCTTCTTTTACTTTCATTCCTATCTATAAAAGGTGATACACCAAAATGAATTTGTCGAGAGTAAGATTTTGGCTAACCTCGTGCGTAGAACTCTTCACGCCTAACCCTATTTCTCATTGGCCATTCCGAATACAACTCATTTTTTCACTGGTCAATTGGCTATGCCATCATCAACACAACGGAATCAAATGGAGGGCGCGGATCACGCATTCGGTCTCCTATTAAATAATAGAAGCTCAGAGCAGTTGAAACCTAATAATATTCAATTAACATTCAATTCATGCTCAATTCTTTGCTTACACAAAAAAATATCACCGAAGAATTATGGTTTTTGAGGGATAGAGTTGATTATATTATAAAGATAAATTGATTCTCCGTATCCCCATATATACTTTTTCCATCGATTTACCATGAATCAATATTGCACAAGAAGTTGAAATAATATATGTGTGAAAAAATAGCACTCTCTTGTTTTTGCTCGTTCTCAATTCATCAGTTCAGGCTGCTGTCTCTCTTTGCTCCACTTCTTTGGTGTTCCCAGCAATGAGATTAAGTGCAACGGGCCCATTGGCAATTCTTGTCTGGCTGCGTATTGTGAGTAAGGCTCCCTAACATATTCACTCTGTAATATCGATGATAACAGTGCATTAAGGATTAGCTCGTATCGAAACTCATTACTGTGAGCAGAGATGCGATAATGAGTATATTGGATAGTGGAGGGTTTGAGTGGGGTTATAAATCAAGTTAATCACAGGTATATCGACCAAGTGCTTGGATTATGCATTGCGGAATCGCTCTCCAATAAGAAGACGAATAAGATGTACAACGATACAACGATACAACTTAATTTAAGTTAGTAGTTTAGATATTCATCCGATTTGACGCTTTAAACCAGCTTTTACTCCATTGCCGTATATGATGTTTCGAGGATGATTCATCAGATTAAAGAATATTATTATCGATAAACATGGCGTTTCTCATTCATGACAGATAAACCCTATAATCTCTCAAAGGCGTCAACGGAACGCACGCGCTGTTGAGAACGATTTTTATTATCTGTGATCATATATTTGCTATCCTTCCACCAAAAAAATTAATCTGTTAAAGCAATCCTAACAAGTGGCGGGTTACTTTATTCCTGATCATTCTTTTTTTATTTTAACTGTCTAATTTGTATGTTTTTTTCTTATCTTTGATCATTTTCATGTATTTCTTCAACGTAAAATTTTTCTCATTATGACATTTGTTGCGTGGATACTGTTGAAATAAATTAGTCTTTGGACAGTTACTTACATGATATACTCAATTTAAGTATATTCATACACTTGTTTCAAGTATAACGTATATTCTTAAAACAACTATAAAATATAGTTGATCCGAATATGATTTTTTTCCGCATTTTACGTGTTGTTTGCTATGATTATACTAATATATTTAGTAGAAAATGAGGGTCACAATGGTCCTTTTGGAGAATACAATTGAATTAGATATTTTACCAGAAGAATGCCTCACGATATTGAAAAAAAATGTTCATGGAGTATGGCAAAAATATTCCTTTAAGAGACTTCTCATGGATCCTTTGTTTTCTTGCACTCGATATTCGCCCTTCTCGCCCAGATTTCGAACAATGCACATCAAATGGATAGGTAGGAGTTTGACTGAATAAAAATTCGAAATATTTCGTTTGAAACTCTTTAAATCGACGCAGATGAGATAAAATACCGAAGAGAAGAGGTCGACTGGAATAATATATTTCGCTGTGTATACACAGGGGCATTGAATAAATTGCTGTATTTTGATTGTGTGCAGACTACGTTCGCCATACGAATTTTCAACTCACTCTTTTTGCATGGGAGTGCAATGTAAATATCTATTGGAAATTAATGGGGTAGCGCGAGGTGTCAGCAACAGAGAGTAATATTGTTACAGGAGAGAAGGAATTAATGCAAAGCGTTGGCAGCAGGTTGAACGCTAGAATGACATGGCATCAAATTTCCCGGTGGGTGAATGCTGCTCTGCGACATCATTTCATGTGTTTCACTCGATAGTATGTCATCATTTAAATGACTTGTTACCGGGGGACTCATTGAAAGCAGAAATTTCCCAATTAGAATTGTGGTCGCTTGTAATTTATCATGTTATTTTCCTTACTAAATCTTGACTCTAATTTCATCAGCGTGAACTCTTCTATGATAAAACGTACATTATCACTAGGCGAATTTAAACATCAAAATCTGAAATTAATTCTCATTACAATTTAGTATTTAAACTGTTACAAAAACGTCATCTCAAATTTTAAAGAACAACTTATGGCCATTTGACTATAACTATTGTCAATTAATTGTTAAAATGTGTGGACTTTTTAAATGTCCTTGAAATTTAAATACTTCAATTAAAATATGAAATATCAAGTGACGGTAGTAGTCACACGGGTGTTGTGTAGGAAATAAGTACTGTGCTCATTGACTCAGCGTGATCGACTGACTGGCATATTAGACTTCCTACATTATCAGCCGGCTATAGGATCAAGGTTTTAGCATGATTTGCCTCCGGTCCTCGGCCTGAAAGGGTCCATAGCTTAAAACGCTCAGGATCTACGGATGTCTCTAGACAGCACATCCCAATTTCCGGACGAAAATTGTTGCATGCCTTTAGTTTCGTAGGATTTTTCTGATGGAATACAATTCCGAATCCATTTATATATTATCTCTTGACATAATTTTATTAACATTTTTAACTCATGGCGTTATCTTTATTTATGTTTCGTCATTATCCTTATTTTAGGTAGCGTTGAGCCATGGAAGAAGAGTGAAAAAACGGGTGAACGAGGTACTGAGGTTCTACTGCCGTGTGTCCTTAAGAGCCCGAATTGCGGCGGTCTCCACAGCATTAAGTGGTATCGAGGTACTCAGAGAATCTTTATATTCAGTGAAGGTGGGGTCATCTCCCGTGGCAACAATGACATTGCTGGCAGGTTTGTTCATCCATAAGCCCCTAAAATTTAACAATAAATCCGATTGAAGACCCCTTTGTAATGATACGTTTTTTTGGTCACAGGGCATCAATGGAGTACGACGCAAATATAACGCAAACTTTCCTCAAAATCGAGAATGTCAAGGTGGAGGATGAAGGTTTGTACAAATGCGAGGCGACTTATCTAGCGATCAATCGTGAGTGCAACAATGTACAGCATATTACCTTCAATGTTACTGGTGAGTAGTACTCAAAATCCATAATAGAACCGTTGAGATAAAAGCGACTGAATCAAAACTTGAATTAAAACACAATATTCATGGTATCATAAAATAAAAATATCTATTAAGTAAATGAAACATGGCTCAAAGGTGTCAATCAAAGTTGATGGAATCCGAGAAAAAAACAAAACGATTAAATGACCGCCGTAATTCTCAAGTTCTCATCTTAATTGAACGAGATGATTAATAGATTAAGCAACTGTGTTTTATTACAAACATCCCCTCACTCATGGTATCAATCCGAGCCAAATTATACACCTAGATTGGTACAGTTGATTGTATCGAGTACTGTATAAAGTGCCAAGGTAGCGCGACCACCAGCAAAAATAAGAGGAAAAACCCATTAAATTGCACACAGAGGAAAGAGGAAGCCAGACACAGTTCCAATTCAAGTTGAGGGCCTTAATTTTCGGGAAGCGGTAAATGTACAAAATTGAACGTGGCAGTATTAGATTGCTTGGGCGCGCACTCATGTTCAAATCGTCTATACAAAGCTGGGAATGAGGTGAAAGAAAATGATGGCTTTTGGAAAATAAAATTCAGTGCAAATGTTGACGATGCGAAATAAAAGCTATGGCTTTTGGAATTGAATTTTATTCCTCTGTGAGAAAATCAGAATTGGTAAAATTGCGTCTTAGGTTTTAGGGGTGTGTGTGTGTTGTATGTATGTCACTCTCCAAGACATTAGTTACCATGGATCTGTAGCAGCCACTCACGAGAAGCAACTTCCAAGTATCGCGATATCTTCCTCCTGCTATTTTCCTCTCATGTCCCGTTCTATTGAATATCTCCCGTATATGCGACCTGACAGTTGTATGTAGGACCCTGTATGTACTAAATGTACACTCAAGTGAACATGAGCCTGTCACCAAACGATACACACTGATATCTTGTTGAAATATTAGAGATAAAGGAAGAAGGAAAAATGCTAGGCAATGTTGAGAATTTTCCACTACTGTTAATGTGGCATTGCATTATAAAATTGAGTTCAATTATTTAGCTACAAAATAACTAGCCACGGAATAAATCCAATAATATCATAATGCAATGGCTCCGCTCTGTGGTTCTGTGAAAAATGTGAATTCCACGTTAACTCGTTGGGTTTCCATCCTCATGGTTTTTTATGGGCTTGCAAATACGTCCATTCATTCATCACGTAAATATAACACTCCGTATTTTTTTATTTTGATTTGTAATGGCTCGTTTCGTCCCAATCGATTTGTAAACTTTTTTTTAATTCTGCGGTTGGCGTTAAAAATAACGAAAAACGTAGTCTTTTAGGCAATCCAAATTGGCATGGCCATTAAAAGTGGATTCTTTAAAATAATCCCGTTTTTTTGCCTTTACACAATCCTTTCAATAACTCGGATCATCACCGGACGCTATAAATGAGGTCTCAAAAAAGTGTAAAAATCGATTAGAACCAAACGGGCCATTAAAAATCAAAATAAAAAAATACAGGTGTTATATTTACGTGATGAATGTATGGATGTATTTGCAAACAAATAAAAAAACACGAGGGTTAGAACCTCAGGAGTGGGAGTGGAATTTTTGAAAATTTTATTGAGAACAACGCAAAAATTCATTCATGTCCCCTCCTCTGCTCTCTTCCGCGACTCGAAGAAGCGAGCCCGTCCGTGGCAGTAGAAGGGATCCATATCTTTACGCAGAGATTGACAGCGAAATCCGCGACATGAAATTATGGATAGTAAGTGCCAGAAGAAAGCTGACAATAACCATTGGCAATTTCATCCTTCTAAATAATTACATCATCAACATCTGCAAAACATCTCTTTCATTTTTTTAACAACATTACCAACTATAAAGACTCCGTTCTCTCGAAGCGGAATAATTCGATGTGAATGAATCCGAGTCCTGGTTGGAACGGTGTATCATCAAAAAAGCAAAAATAATAAAATAACCCAAGCAATTGCAAACTAATATCTCGTTCCGGACGGTCATTGCACTTCTTCTCCCTCACTGTGGAAGGCTATATAGTACTATATAAATATGAAGTACTGCGTAAAAAATTCACAGTGTGAAATGACTGCACCAATTAGCACAATCACAAACACCCTTGGATTATTAATTATTCTGTATTTACTACATACATGCAAAAGACCAATTACCATCATTTTTTATTATACTCACTAATTTGAGATATTGAACCACAATACCCAGTTTTTTCTCATCTCCATCGGCTCATTGATGAGCAAAAATTATGCTCTACCTCCTGGCTTCATTAAGCATGACTATTTTTTTGCGAATTCACGTAGCAGAAATCTATGTGTTTATCTCCATGGGATTTCTGAACGTTAAGCTCCATCGAGAATTACGAGTCTGTCACTTTTTCTCACTCACGATCAATTCTACCCGACTAAGTCTGACTGCAGTGCCGAGATTTTTCCCCCCAACTCTGGTAAAAAAGCAAAGAGTGTATCCACAGAGTCCGATACATCGTCGTTGAGTTGAAAAAAGGAACACGAAACGATGAAAAAGGGCGTAAAAAAACCTAAAAAAGACCGGCGCAGCACAACGTACCAGGGGACGTGAAATAAGTCAGACGTTATCACACAGAAATGGGGAGACGAGAAAAAAATAAAAGTAGAAGGGAAGAGTATGAAAAATCCATAAAACACGTGTTAGTAATTTAAATAATTGTTTTTAACCGCATTTGAAAATCGTGGATAGGCGGCAGCAGTCCTAGGGCAAGGGTTAAACGAAATATACATATAGCATGGTATGCTTAATCCCCGGAAGAGAGCAGGAGCAAGTCAGAGCAAGCAGGGGGGTTGTGGAGGGTATACGCTTGGAAATGGGTGAACCTTTGGGCCAGGGGGAGGTGGCAGGAGTATAAAGGTCATCTATAGCTGTTCGATAACAAAGTTTGCGTTGTCACGAATAACACACGAATTTTATCGCAGATTGCATTGGCGATTGTGCAAGTTATAGCCAAAAGAGATGCCGATCGGGAGATATGGGTAGGGTTGAATGGTATCTCTCTAACGCGTTCTTTCAAACGAATCTCTCGTTCTCCTATTTTTTTTTTCATTTTCATTTTTCACGACAGTGCAATTTATATGAAACCAATGAACTATAACCATAACACTCGTCATTTATGTACCAATGGTTGGCCGTTGCGGTTCGTCCCACTCGACGTTTTTAAATCGAGCTTTTTAACCATTTTTTTTTCATCCATCCGCATATCATTCAAATGATTTTACAAGCTATGGGATTGCCATTGTACTCGTACTCAAATTCACAAACATTGGAACATGGAAATATTTTTATGTATTCTTTTTGTCATAGCAATAGGGATAAAAGCAATAGGATATGTTGGATTATATAATTTTTTTTGGATATATTCTCGGTGGAAAGAAAGATAAGGGTCGGGCGAGAGAGGAATTTAATTTCACGCTCCCGCGGAAAACCAAACGATTTAGCTCCCAGCGTTTGAAAACCCTAAACTCTTTGGGTGACCATCTAATCCGCGCGTACCTCGACACAGCATCCTTCTATGAATTGAGAAAAGGAAGAGGACGGCCGAGGGGATTGGAAGGTCGACCGCAAGTTGTGGTTCTCGAGTCCCCTCGGTTAACTCTCGTTCGTTTTACATTCACCCTCATGGTGTGACACTTGCAGTTCGTAATTTGACTGCATTCCCTTTTCTCCGTATTCTCCCCCCTCAGCGTCAATTTGGGATAACTATCTGCATTCCACTTGTCCATCACTTTTTAAATAGTCTACTACGAAAAACAAATACTGTACTAATAGAGATGGAATGGTGGATTTGCATTTTGACTTGGCGGTAAAGGGTACGGTAAGGGTTTCTTTACCCAGTTATGTAACTTATTTGATAAAGTATTAACGGTAGAGTATTTTTTTAAGGCTACTTAAAGCTACCATTGAACAATATATGGACGGAACGATAAAGTAGCTCCACCATCTGGAAAGCTCTTCATGGGGCATTCAAAAGTTTGGAATTTTTTCTTCCTCTTCTTTTCACTCCATCTTAGTCATTTTTTATTCTCCTTATGGCAGAGTTCCTCACTCAAAATGAATGTTCTTTCCGGCTTCAAAGTTTCCGTACCGTGGGAAAAGTGCCGTTAAAGCGACAAGTTTGGCTAGACTTGGCCGAAAAATACCACGCAGCATGAATACGTCACTGTAAGATGTATCGTCTTTGAAAACTCCTATCTTCATTAAACATTTTTCTTCATTTCCTCCCTTCATCGATAATTCGTCCGGCATTTCTATCATCGGTTAATTTCCTCTCCTCTCCCACTATATTCAATTGTGATTTATGTGCCTATATTATTATATCGTCCACCTGTATACCACGAATAATATACCTATGGGTGAAAGCGGCGCCGAGGTTTCCGAGCAGGTGCCGTAATTTGATCGGCTAATGGATCGTATAGACGCGACCAATAAATCATACGAGTAAAAGTAGCGAGACCAGACGACGATATTGGTGCGAGAGTGAAGCGATCCCTCGGGTGCTTGACGGCGTACCAATTTTCACGCAATCCGCTACAAACCATATTTACCCAACTACCAGTTTCCTCTACCTTTCAAAAATATACATTTATCATCCCGTTAAAAAATACAAACTTCATATACCCATTGTGATTTCTAGAATAATTGAATACAAAAATAATTGAGCAATACGATCTATCTCATCCAAAAAATCTATAGCCATTTTTTTCCCTTATAGAGCATTCCATTGAAGGTCGATTGTTTGATTCCATTCCTCTGCGTAATTTTAGATTAACAGTACCGATTACATTATCCCATTAGAATCAAATATACGGAAATATATATTAATTAAGAATGTCGGAGCACACAATTTACCCACACTCTTATTTGCGTACACGAGAACAATTTTTTCATAATGTTTACCATAATGCTTTGTTGAATATTTCACCCCGCGTAATCATTCCGAATTCCGTCACCCATTTCATATAGGCACTTGGGCTAAAACGGATATTCATTGAACATTTTACCATCTTTCATTTTAAACATTTTTCTTTGTATAAAAAAACAGACAGTTAATTACAATATTTAGCAAATGAATTGATTGACCGTCAATTCAACTGTAAGCGAAATTGTTTAAAGATAGAAAAACGTAAGTGCCTAATGCAAAAAAAAGTACTAATAATCATAATATAAATGTATCAAAACATTGTTGAACGACAAACAAATAATTTTTTTAAAACCATCATGATTTTACATTCAATCTGTTAATAATTAAATGATTTTCAGCAAGGTAATTTTGTCATTCGAGGAAAATATTCGGAAGTTTTAATTATCATTACGCCAATTTGAATAAAGACATTTACGTTTTACCCATCCTGTCCTATATATTCGTTGAAATCAAACGTGGAATAGGGTATATTTCAATTTCGTAATTGACAAATATAGTATAATTATCTAAAAATTCATAAAATACTTTAATTCTCACTCGACTATCTTCCGTGAAACTGATAAAAATCATGAAACAACTAGGAAAAGCGGGAAATTTACATAATTTTTTCCCTGAATATCCTAAGAAAAAACATTGATACCTTTAATTGAACTTATTAATATCATAAATATTTTAAAGAAAAAAATGAAAATGCAGATTACATGCAGATATTTTATGAGTTTTACTGGTGAAGATTATATTTTACATGATATTTACGTGGTTCCAATTATTTTCTTTCGCTGTTCGTTCATGTTTCATTGGCAATCTGATAAAACCGTTAAAAAATCATCAACATTGATCCGGCTCCCCCTGATAAACGTTAAATTATTATGCCTCTAGTGATTGGGAGCTTGTCGATAACCAAAATAATTACAAAGAACGATGAATAGCATTACCAAATTGTCAACAGATCAATGTATGCGAGATAATTTAATCAGCTTTTATACACGAAAATAAATATACTTGAAATGAATACATTAATATATACTCATTTTAATAATATGCGGATGAAACTCATTAAGCGGATGATAAAAATAATACTATAATGTATTACGACGGGTGGATGAACACTGCACACCCGACTTGGAGGGGTAGCTCCAGGAGGCGAAAGCAACTCGGGTTTATTGGAAAGTTTATTCATAGTCAGAACTTTATTCCGTAATTCGGAAAGAATCCGCCTTCACCTCCCTTTTCCCCGTACCCTTTTATTTTCCCTCCCTCCATTTTCCACGTCCATGGTATTCTTTCTATGTTTCTTGGGAGCTGCGACGGGAATTCGTTCACTCGACTTTATTCAAGCAGCAATTTAGCAATCATTTCCATCTTACCATCCAGTGAAAATATAGTTTTGTCATAACTTGTTGGTGAAAAGAGTTGTGAGAGAATATGAACAATAAGTGGAGAAATATATTGTAGATGAATTCTGACGTTTTTTTTTACCTACGTGCGATTTAATTAAAACTATAATAGCGATCCTTTTTATCTTTAAATCCACCTGTAACGAAAAGTGACAACGTTTTGCGATGCATAGCTAATAGTTTATCGAAAAGGTTTTTTCAAATAATTATAATATATGATATAGATGTGACGCATTTTTGTCTCAGTAGAATTTGAAATGTTTTTAAAACTTTGCATTTAAAATTAAATGAATATGTTTCAGTGAGGCCAAAATTTGTAAGAGTCATTGAGAAGGCCAAGAAGGAAGAGAATTTAACGTCTGGTGTAATTCTTGGACCGATTAACGAGGGAACGATGATAACACTGATTTGTGAGAGCGACGAGGGAAAGCCAGTACCTCTAGTCGAGTGGTACAAAGATGATCAACGAGTAACGGGTAAGTCATTTTAAGGCCCAAGTTTCGAGTAAACTTTCACGTACGTATCGCTGGAGAAGTTGTTAGTGCTGTCCTCTATATAAGGATTTCCAAAGTTTTTATCCTCGTTTTCGCTCAATAATGAAAACAATTGACGATCACTGTTGTGGAAAAAGTTGGAAAGGCTTTCCTACAGTCTAAAGTGCTTAGCGAGGATCACGAATAAATGCGATAAGATTATCAAGTGGTAGGACCTAACAAATGCTGTATTGAAAGAATGATAGGGAGTTGATTATGGAGAGTAGTCAGAATGACTATTAGTGAAAGAAAGGGGTGAGGAGAGGAAAAAAGGAAGAGACAAAGGATAAAAACGAAAAGAATGGGAGAAACATTCCCAGCAGTGCAGCACTTTATGTCCAACGGACCAATTCCAGGGACGTAGCAGATGTAAAAGATTTATGCTCAGTTCACTCCTCATCCCCTCTGGCTACGCTGCGTCGCAGTCGTAAAAGCCCTCCGAAATCCCCAAAACGACTGGCTGGGTGTTATTCGAGAAAACGTTGCCTGGAGACGAGCATTGTAATCTATGATACTGCATCACATTCAATTAAACTATGCCATGTGTTTAGTTGCTCACTTCTCTCTCTGTGTCTGTGTTGATTTTTTAATATTAATGTCGAGCGCTTCCGCTGCCCATTAATTTATATAGTTACGTCACTTACCCTTTATCCTCGATGGTCTGTTTGTTAAACATTGTGGTGAATCGCTACATTATTCATCATGAGATGGCCAATGAATTTCAGTACTGACAAAAAAATTTTCTGGACTGTCGAAGAAATTGTATAGCGCTGTCCCATATATTTTCAAGGATACATAAGAAATTTCAATTTTTGTCACTCAATCCGTGAAGCTTCACAACCGCTGCACGGTCTTATAAAACCCTCCATACGGACTGAATGACAAAAAAAATGGTTCGTTGACCGATATAGTTATTAGCAGTCCTAGCAGTGAAAAACATATCATCCCTCCCCACATGCAAGATTGACATCCGAACCGCAGGCAAGAAATGTCCAGGCGTCCAGAAAATGGTGTTTTTCAAACGCCAGGCTGAAAATAGTGTCTGTTTGACCTGTGGCAGTGGATTTTTTTTACTCGTGTGGAAGCCAATTTCACGGGAGTAAAAAGAACCCATCCAAACAGCCCGGATTAGTATATTTCTCACCTAAGGAGGAAAAACAGATAAGTCCTCCCCACGTGCAAAATTGCTACCCGAGCCGAAGGCGAAAGTGTTAAGCACGTGGAGAAGACTTGTCTGTTTTTCTTCTCAAGGGTTGAATACGTACACGGTTGTATTTTTTTGTAGTGATTTTCAAGTTCTCGAATTTGGGAGGTATGTAGTACGGATTTCCAGACGAGAAATCGTGAGAAGCAGTATGGAAAAATACTTTTATGACGACTGTGAGTTTACATACCGAAGCGAAGCTGCCCCATAATTAGGAAGCAACATATTGTTCAGTGAATAATCAAAATTCTGGATAATCACATAAAAATTTTGATTTGCTTAGTAATGCTTCACGTAATAATACGTCGCCCAAAATTGCGGAATTCCCCTGTAATTTTCGTTGAACTTCTCTCTGCAGGAAAAGCAAAGAAGATGGTTCCTTGACTTTCTCTACGTTTGCCAAATTTTCAAAACGAATTACACCCATTCAATCTATAATTGTATAATTGAAATATGAGCTTTTCATGCAATTCAAAGAACCTATACTTGTAAAATCACAGAATAATATTGGGTATAATATTCAATGAGATATTCTTCATTGACCGCTAATTTGCAGAATTAATTAATAAAATTTGATCACCTGTAAAATGTAATATTTGATGGCTGAAATGTTCAAGAGCCTTTAGATACCCGGCCTCACGAAAAAAAAAAATATATGCTATAATATATATGTGCTATTGATATATGCGAAATATAGATTCACCTGTATTCACTATATATTTCCTATATTTTATTGTTTGGCGGAATATATATGCATATAACTAATATATCTTGCATAGATACGGTTTTCTGTGCAGGATGGATCATCTTCCTCGTGGCATTTCCATAAATAGTTAAATACAAAAACCAATCTCAAACGGTATTTCGATTTTAGCTACTGGCTCAACGGATATCCACGAGGATGGAATTGGTGCAGGAAGTAGTGTGCTGCAACTGCAGGTTAGCCGTAGCGAATTAGGCGCGACTTTTGTCTGTCGAGTCAGCAGTCGAGCTTTGGCTGAGCCCCTCACCGTCAACATCGGACTTGACGTGCACGGTAAGTAATTCAGTTGGAAAATTAACCAAAAAACGGCACATCTCAAAGAGACCCATCCATATTGGATATTTTAATGTGGATAATACATATGCAGCAAAAAAAAATTGATAAAAGGACGAAGAATACATTTTCTACTTGAAATTTTAAAAAACTTTGAATTTACATTGAGATAAATTACATTTGGTACTGTTACAAAATGTCCTTCGTCTTGATATTTAATTGCATTGCAATATTCGGATCCACATACCTACGAAAATTAATAAAAAATAGAGATCTTTCAGACAATTGATATTTCACATGCCAAAATTATCAGACATTCCATTGAATTTTACATGTAATTTTCACAGAAAAATTGGGAATTCAAGCTATTTGTGAAATGTCGCATGTCGCGTAAAAATCCGCTGAGGTAAAAATCCAGGGGTCATGCTAAATTCTGAAATGAAATGGGAACGTTCATGCCAAAATTCTAAACATTCCGGTGCAATTATAACTGATAATGCAAATTAGGAAATTCAATGAATTGGATCATCTTAGTTTTTTTTCCTGAAATATCTCGCGATTCAGTGACGAACCTGGAGGGAGAAACTAGAGAGTTGGTTACAAGATGCCAAGATTTCACTGAGGGATGAAAGCAAACGACTAGCTGTAAAACAGATTTCCTCATATACTGTAGTAAGCCAGGGTAACCTTTTATTTTTACAACCGCATATATACTCCTTAATCTGCACGATACTTGTACATCCATGAATGGCGGGTGTATAACGCGAAACGTTATGCATGCAAAATATTCGAAAAGGGAAAACGCACACGATGTAGATGTGGCATAGCCATTTGGTATGAATGTGACATCCATTTATCATAAAGTATACATCCAGATTATTAAAATAGTACGGGAGGAAATCCTTGCACAACCAGTCGTATCCTCAAATATCATCCGGAGAATATGCATCACGGTAATTCCACGGAACATAGTGTTCTGTGGTAATAAAACCTACTTATACTTAAACAACTAGCGTCTGAATTTCTACTATTTTATACTATCCATATTAAAATACGTGTAAATGACCGACGATGGTGGGACAGCGGTATTTTCACGTAAAATCCCATCGAATCCTCTCTCAGGTTATAACAGTTGGTGGCGTCCCGACTAACACTTCGAATAAGAATATGACAGAAGGCAGAGACATACATATAGAAGTAGACAAGACAGATAGTGTAGAGTATAACGCGTAATCTCGGGGTTGAAAAGCTTTCGCTCTCGTTAAACGATAATATGGGAGATATGAAGAGCTTCGTTCGTGGTCGGAATACATGAAAGAAATCCACCAGGTATAGTTTGGAAAAAAGAAGTTAGGGGAACAGTGCCAATGGAAAGAAGAAAAAATTCGCAGATGGTGCGCACGTTGATATCTCACCGAAAAATCTCAACGGCTGTTATAGTACGGAGACTCATTAATTCCTCGTTTTTTTTTTCAATATTCGAAATGGTATATTCAATTGCCTTTATAGCTTCTCATCATTCCTCTTCATCCATAGCTTACTAAAACTTTCCATTTTTCTTTGCTTGACTTGTCTTGACGAAGCGCTTTATTTGTTGAATTTAATGTTCGTCATTTTTCAGTATGCCCCCAGTGAAAAGTAGCAAAGCTCTATTATTTGAGAGCAAGTCTCAGGCAACCATATCGGAATAGGTTAGGTCCTTTAGCCAGTCGCGTTATCATCCAACCATACGTTGGAATATATATGTATTACAGTGAAACTAGTGGTTGCGCTCGTTCATCTCTATCAGGGCATTTGCTCGTTCCGGGCCGTCGTCCAACTTGAGCTCAGAGAGACGGGAAACTGGTGCAAATACGTGTGTCCTGAACTCCTCTCGCAAGCAGAGTGGTATGCACCGCCTTGAAGCATATTTCAAGTACTTCTGGTCAATATAATTCATCGGCACTCGAAAATAAAAATGACTCCATAATTGGGCTCGATCGCAGCCGAAATTACAGCGAATACGGGAAAGAGGCCTCCTACCGAGGAGTAGATGACAGTTGTTTATATTGATTATTTCATTATCTTTGTTTTATGTATTTTATTTGCAGTTAAACCACTGAAAATGGACGTTACGGGTGTGGTTGGTCATGTGGTTAGTGGTACAAAGATCTTACTAGAGTGCAAAGTGAGTGCAGCTAGACCAGCGGCCAACGTTACCTGGCAAAATGGCACTGAAATTCTCTCAGATAACAACGAACGAGCTGATGTATTTGAAACCAAAACTATTGACAATGTGAGTAACGAAAGCTCATACAGCTCATTTCTATATTCTCTATTAATTCCACTGGAATTCAATTATTACCACCATTTGCGATGCCATAGACAGCTGAGCTGCTGAATTTTGAATAATTGAATATCAGAGCATTGCAAATATAATCCCTAAAATTGGATGTATCCTCATTCTAACTATTTGCAGAATTCATACATACTACACCCTTTACAGTCAATTATTTCATCAATCATTAAACCTTCCAATTAACTGCGTTTACTTAGAACATAATTAACCGATAATCAACGCTGGGAAAGCAGTTTCACTCAACAGTATGTCCAGTCAACCTAATATTCTCTTCTCTATCACTCCTGACATAGTTGAACCGTATAATACTGAGAATTTGCCTATTACCAACTCGTTAGAGAACCACAACGTACACCTGAAACCACACTTGCTCTATTTACATTAGTGGAAGAAAAACACAGCAGTGTATTCTCCCTTTCCAGATACCCCTACTAACAATATCAGTAATATGTGAACAATGGACATCTCAGTTTACCGATAGTTCATATATTTTCTGTATTCATGGGCTAAAACTATAGTTCACAATGGGCTATGCATGTCATTATTCATTCCATCATCTATACACTTTTTTTTGCTACGAGATCGTTCGTGCATACTCAATATGATGCCCATTTATTCCAAATGTTTCAAATTTAGCCGAGACCTCGTGGTGGTGTCTTAGGGGTCTTACTCTTACGCTCATTCAATATATTCCCCGATTGATTTCCTTTTTCCGTTTCATATTAGGATTCAATGCAAATAATCAGTTACAATCTCCCAATGCATTCGAAATTAATACAATATTCTTGGATAATTACGAAAAATATTGCATAAAAAAATTACATATAAAATTTTTAAAATTATATTTTACATTTTTAATGGTTTGTAGAAAAATTTGAGAAAAGTATGGCTAACAATTTTTAAGATTAAAGGATATTTAGTGGACTGTCTTCGCAGGTATTCGAAGGTACAACTGCTATTAAAATGTTAATTAGTCAAAAATTAGGTTTTTAGAAGAAAAATGGAAAGACATGACGAGAGTGGATTTGTCGAATAAATCTGTTGATATTATAGTTGAAAAAAAAAGGTGTTTGATTGACATATGCTTCATATCTGTGAAGTGTTGTGGCAAGGAGAAAAGGTGTCGATGACAATGCAAATTTAACCATTGGAATAAAAATGACTAAGCTTTCATCTGGACAATACGAGAATGCAATTGGGTAAAAGCCAAAGTTCAAGTCTCTTTGGCCACACGGACTGGTTCTCATCTGTCCGCCAACCCCCGAGCTTTTACCGAACAAACTGTTTGTGGTTACCTGACGGAGTGGTTCGCTGACAATTACAGTCTGAATCGATACCCCCGGGCCAATCTGACAGTATTTCGGGAAGCGAATGGTATGGGGTTTGTCCAGAGGGAAACTTCAACTTGGACGTGTACACATCGGAACAACCGGAAAACTTCTGAATTACCTGTCCGACTAATTGATTGTATTATGGCACGATGACACAGTGTTGAAAAAATTTGCTTCCGAGTGAAAACATAATAGAGAAGAAAGAAATAATGGTCAAGGGAATAATCTTATATTTATTAATTTACTTACAGAGCGATAGTACATTCGAAACGAGCAGTTACATAGGTTTTACAACTTCCGAATACGACAATGGTCAGACTTTCAGCTGTCACGCGGAAAATTCTGTGACAAGGACAGAAGGTGTTAACCCAATGAAAGAAGCCATTACAATGGAGATACTATGTGAGTTTAATCTGCTTCATTGTGTAATTCCGTTATCTTTATTGAAAGTATGATGAAAATTATGGGATCAAGATATAGAGATGCCTTTCTAAACATCTCATATTCCTGTTAGAGACATTTTTAATAGTGCAAATGATGATATATTTGGCGACATTGCAAAAAAAGATTTCTAAATTTTCGATACTCGCTACAAATATCTCTTAGTTATTCTAGAAACAATGTACGTTACATGAGAACTTTCTTTTAAATATTAGAACGATAATAATTTCAAATTAAGGTAATCTATTAATTAATTGATCACTTTTTTGGCGGGGACAGATAAAATTTATAAATTACCAGTGAATTACTGAAATGATGAAAAAATGAACAGAAAGTACTGAAAATTCGAGCGTTTGTAATCTCTTGTTGAATTATTATTTTAAATCATTTCACCCATTCAGTTTAATTGAATTTCGGTGGACCTGTTCTAGACATTTACCATATATCGTTACAATGCTAGTAATTTTCGCAGTCTTAAAAATAAAAATACCGATTTATGAATATCGAAAATGCGTGTGTGCAGTTGAGTGGCATTGACGTGTACCAGTCTGTCGGACATCACCGGCAACTGTGTGGTATCCGTTGCTGCTCGCTATGCATGCATTTCCCATTTAATATCCGTACGGATTGTATTGTACAGCTCGCGTTAAGATCCATGACAAAATTAACCAAATTTGCTCCTACTTTTGTAACTACTACATCACCATGCAAAATTTATGCCGCCACACTACGACTGGCATCCTGCATTCATTCAACTTGATAGATTTTCAAAATACTTACAGATCCACCTATCGTATCTATGCACCCAAAGAACATAACTGTTAACGAAACTGAAGATGTTGTTATGATCTGTGATTACGATGCAAATCCAGCAACCCTCACGTCTGTAAAGTGGTAAGTACATGTACGGTGGTTATGAACGTGTTGCATTTTTCTCTCTACATTTGGTATTAAACTCTAATATACAGGTCAAATTAAAACTTTACGTTAACTCAATTGAGTAGAACCCGTAGAACCGAATGGAGATCAAATACTACTATATGTATTTTATTGCCAGTTGCAGGCTGATGGTCTGCATTTCATAAATATTCATGAAACTTTGTAATTCTCGGTAGAAGTGCAGATATTTCCGACACGCACTCATAATCAAATTTTTTCTATGATATCAATAAATGCATACTCTTCCACATTTTTGAGGATATTGATAAATTTTATATTTTCGATTGACAATTTTCTTTAATCTCCACGCTTAATCATGAATTGCTCTTTTTTTTCACCCAGCTATTTGCTCGGTTATCGTTATTAAAAGGTCCTTCGTTTGATGGATGCCAATATTTACATACACATAAAAAACATTGAAAATCCGCTGAAATCCAACAGAGAACCATAAATAAATCTACTTACAACCCTGCAAATGGAAATTATTGAAATAATGAACTCCAATCAGATTTCATTTTGTCCAAAAATACAGCATTCTTAATTTTCCAGCGGGATAGTTGATTTTAAAACCAACTTGTGTGAAATATACATAATTCATGAAATAAAATAATTTGATGAATTTAAACTTAACGTCTAAATAATAGGTATCGGGAAGGACAAGAGTTGGAGCTGAGTTCAGATCATTACGAGGGTGGTAGTACAGACCAGCCGTCACTAACCGTGAAAAATTCAAATTCGACTGACATGGGCACGTACAAGTGTATACTCACTAACAGCGTAGGCAACTCATCCAATGACAGCTCCATAGACGTTTCGATACTGTGTAGGCATTTCATATCTCGTTTCCGAATCAATAAATGCCAATTGCTCTATTTTTCAATCAACCACCGTCTTCCTGAAGGATTGAAAGGATAATTGAATTTTAGATACACCAAGTGTTCAAGTAGTCGTCGACCCTGAAGCACCGGTGAATGAAGCTGAACGTTTGAATGTGTCACTGACATGTGACGTTACTGACGGTAATCCTATGAGTTTGAATGCCGTGCGGTGGTACTTAGATGGTGATTTGCTCAAGGAGTTGCCGGACTGTGCTCGAAACTCAACAGTTGCCGCTGCAGATGATACTTCAACATTTTGTGACATAGATCCAAGCAAATTGCTTCTCGAGGCAGTTGGAAGATCCTTTCATGGAAATTATTCCTGCGAGGGTAGAAATGACGCTGGATGGGGGCCAATATCATCGAGAACCCCAGTAACTGTTTACTGTAGGTCTAATTAAATAACATAAATTGCACATTTTTCCATCATGGTTGTAACCAACAATTAAATCCCAGATAAACCAGGACCAGCCACAATATCGTATGAACCAACGAGAGTGGTAAAAGGCAGTCCACTCAATATTACCTGCGCTGTTATCGACTCTGGTCGACCGCACATTACGGGATATAAATGGATACGTGGTCTTCATAGACTGACTGACGAGGAAAAATCCGTTTTGAGTATAGAATCTGTTAATTTGAGAACCAAAGATAATTTTACATGTATGGCGTATAACGAAGCGGGCGACGGGGATTCAGCAATAACATTTATTGATGTCTCTGGTATGTTCATTGGCAAGAATACCTTTCAGAGTTTCTCCAATCCTACTTCAATTTGTCCATAGGCTCTATCATTTGTAATGTTGATGATCCTTTAATTTTCCTTGCATATTGAATTGTTACAGCTGCTCCTGCCTTTATCCATCCACTTCCACCCTATCATGGTTATGTGTACAATGCTACAAATGTCAGTATCGGTTGTCGCGTTGAGTGCTCACCTATCTGCAACGTATCGTGGTCTAAGAACAATAAACCGATCGACTTCAGTGCCAATAATAGTTTGTATTACGTGACGAATGTGTACCATCCGGCTGACAAAGGTACCAGCGATTTTGAGAGCATACAGTCCAATCTCACATGGAATTTATCAGCGTGGCCGAATGGCCAGCTCGATCGTCACGAGGACAATGATAACTTTACTTGCGAAAGTAATGGCAATGGGATTGGACCTGGTGTTAAAAGTACAACATATTTTCAAGTTGAATGTGAGTTGTGATATTCATAAAATTATTTTCAAATGGACAAAAAAATTCCGTTACTAACAATCAGGAATGTTCACAAAGAGTATTGAAACTGCATTTTTATTATCCAACTATTCTACATCTGCGAAGCTATTTCAGCTCGCCTTGAATGGTAGCAAAAAATTAGCTCATCTCCATAACAGGGAAGCAATATAATTTGAAAAATCTCGAGCGGATAGAAAGATCGTTGGTATTTGATTCCACTTCGTTATGCCAGTACTGAAATACTGAAGAACACGCCATGCGAATACACTTTTACACCAAGAAGTTCGTTCTTCTCTATTTGAGATGAATTTTACCATCAATCTTTTTAACAAATAAAAACCAATTTAGTCGCTTCAATGTGTTCACGAAAGCGTTAGTGATACTTCATAATAATGGAGTTTAATAGGGTCATTTTTTGAAATGGATGAAAGCTTTTCTCTGTGAAAACATTTCTGATTGTATCCAGACGATTACAGCTTGAGGTAGTCATTTCATATAGTGTGACATTATAGTAATGAGTGCACTCACTTTAATCCATAATTTCCAGTTCCGCCGGAAGGTATGGCAGTGTCCACTCCAAATATTATTGTAATTGAAAACACTATCCCAGACAGCGTAACATGTAGTGCTGTCGCACATCCAGAGCCAACATTTCGATGGTATCGCGAAGGCTCACCAGATATCACTGCATCGTCCAGTGCTGTGCTGGATATCAAAGAAAGAATACCAAGACGAAGTAATGGAACGTATATATGCGAGGCTATTAATCGCCATGGTCCAGCAAGAATTTCCGTTCGTCTAGATGTTCTATGTTAGTTGTAATGCTATTATATTCGATCCCCTTTAGTAAGGAGGATATATTTATAATAATATAACGATATCATCAATAGATAAACCCGATTGTCAGATCAATAGAGAGAGGATAAACGGAGAGGATTATCTGGTATGCTCAGCCGTAGCAAATCCAAAAGAGTGCACCTTCAGCTGGTCTTTGAAGAGCGACAACGACTCTATCGATCAAATGGCTCAAATGCGGGACGGCAAGAGTTATCTCCTCTTGGATACAACCATCACTAATTATCGGACTTATATATGCACTGCAAATAATACTATTGACTTCTCCAGTCCCTGTGAGCTTGGGGTACCAGGTAAATATCTACATGAATAATTGTGAATATCTTCTTTCATCTTTTCCACTCCTATGTCTGATCTTTTTTTGTATTCAAGAAAAACATATCCAATTCATATTAACAGTATAAGCATGGTATTTTCTAGCTCGCCAAGGGCACTCGGGTATGTTAACTTTTTAATTATTTTAGTTTTAAAAAAATCTCATTCAATGGAATTCCTTCGAAGTCTCCTCCATTAAACATTTTATGAATGCATCATTCATCTTCTGATGAATTTCAGGCAGTATTCCTTGGTGGTTTCATCTAGAGGGGGATTTATTAATTATCGTCATCATCGTTGCCATGGTGATACTGATTGTTATAATTGTCTGCTCAATAATCATCTATCTAATTTGCCGGAGGAGAAGAATGCAGGCTAAATGTGAGTCCATCATAAATCACAGATTTAGGTACAAACTGCATGACATGATTACATCGACGAGATACCACAACATTATTTCACTTTTATTCGTATCCTCATTGCTGATTAAAATGATTAATTATTGATTCATTACCATCAGCTATTTTATTTATATAATTCGCCAGTGCTTACAAGTACTCACTGGCAGTCAACAGCATGAGTAATTATTTTGGAAATCATAGAGCCATAGTCGCTGAATAACACGTCTTATTATTGTTTATTAACCTCAATCAATGATGCAATATGCTGTTTGAGTAATGATTGCTGCTACATATTTTGCATAAAACAGGAATACCGCATGTTGCGAACTTTATATATCGTGTACATCTACCAAACGTCCACTTAACGAGAAAACCATTTTAGCTGCGTCACACTGTAGCTCAAATTTATTTTCGATCATTCAAAATCATGTCTACTCAATCCACACAATTTATGAATAATTTTCTTTCAATGCCATCGACTAGATAGAGCGATCATGGAATTATATGTCCATTGGGCTGACACTTCCTTTACTCACATCACTTAATTCCATAATGAGACTAGAAGACAGACGGAACTATAGTTTAAGGCAGTACTCCCGGAACATTATGAGTCAAGCTAGAGTACGACAGCTCACCTAACCTGAGTCGCGTTGTTGCCACATCGATTTCTTCCACATTTAATTAATTAATTTCAACATTGGTAGCCCATGAATCAAAATTTTTTAATGCGCAAAATGTTCTTCAACATCTGTACATATAGCTTAAAAATTTTCATGAAAAACTCATCGTTGGAATTTTTAAAACTAAAAAAAAAATCGTGAACTGTCATAAGACTCAATGTTAATCTTTGAAAAATAAGGAAATTAATAACTATTGTTCTGGCCGATCCAGGCTTTTGAAAATTTAACTGAATCATTTTTGCATTAAAGTCTATCTGCATGTCAATTTTCATCGAAATCTCATCGTTGCTTTGATATACGGGAGTTCTACCTTAAGCGAAAAAAAAAATTAAAATTAAAATTAAAATCGGCAAGCAATAACGTGAAGAAATATCCACTAACACAATTTTTATTTGTTTCTGTTCCGCTTTGTAATTTGGACAATACTAAACGAAAACACAGACAGTAATCGCGTGGTCTCAATGGAGGAACGTGAACAGTAAGTATCAACCAATACGAAAAGTTTAATTACTAAAACCAATTTGGTTTAGCTGATAGCACGAAATCGACGCTCGCTTATCTTTAACACAGCCTATTTCTATCTCCGCTAATTTCGACTGTGGGCACGTTAATTTTTCCTGAGAAATAAACTTTTCCCTCTATTAAGAATTGGCGGAAAGGAGAAATCTCCGAGGTAAGAGTAAAAAATAAAAGCCTTATTATCATGAAGTCAATAAAAGAGTTGTAGAACTTTGCTCGGAGAAAATAACTCGAACTGAATTGCAACGTGTCATATCAATGCTGTGCTTCTCGGTGATGGTGTAGTTGGTGAGCATAGAAGGGAGAATGAAGTGTGTTAGGATGGTCATAGCGGAGTCGTAAAGCTGCAGGAGGTGGTCACAACGAGATCTGAATTGCATATAGTTGACTCGCGGTAAAACTATTGGGTTAAGCGATCGAAACGATGTACGGAGCAATGGCAGTTGAATCGGCCCACTGCCACAGTGCTATTGTAAGCCTCTGCTTTAGACCAAGTATATATATGTATATACGTATTTACCCTGGTGGCACTTTACTCGCATGTAAATTTTCACTCGGCTCTCCAGTTCGGCATCTCCTTTTCTATCCCATATCTACATACGGATTGTCCTTCACATGCGAATGTATCATTAAAACTGTTGAAATGAAAAATCCATTCTTTTAGTTTTGCGTTAACTGGTGGTGGGTTTCGCACGTAAAAAAAGTACAATCATTACATCAGCTATTCAAATTAAATTCAACTGGAAACAGTACAAGTAGGGAGAAAAAAAATTAATCGAATATTCCACCAGCCCCGATGGTGGTCCACCGAGTCCCACCGAGTCGACGAGATCGCGAGATCTCTGTTCCTCATCCATCCGTCCAGGTTCAGCGCCACGTTGGCCCCTGAAACCCGGTGTACTCGTGCACATTAATCGTACACATAGTCTAAGCACGGGATTAAATCCAGTACACGCGAGACGGAATCACCAGATGCACTCGACTTTGTCAGGCTGCACCGAGACCGATCAATACCACTCACAGGAAACCAATGGGGTAGTTATAAAACCAGTAAGGCCATTCAGGCGTGGCAAAACCACCACGGTAATCGGCCACCCGGAGCAACACCATCATACAGTCACCGTGCCAATTGTTCATGATGAGGGTATGATTGCACGTGCAAATAGGATAAGAGCAATGTTCAGTTCACAATTGCGAGAGCCAGGTTCTTTTCCGGGGATATCCAGAGATAAAACTGGTAAGTTTTTATTTTTTTACTTATGCTCCACGCATTTTTCTCAGTTTGTGATGGGGAAACCAAGGATACTGTGGAAAATGCGACAAGTCAAAGTGGCGAAGATGCAGCTAGTCTATAAAAATTTTTAAAAATGAAAAAGACGATTAAAATCAGAAAAAGGATAGATAAAATGGGCTTGACTGTATGAGAAGTAAGGGACAAAAGGGGGTTTCAAATATATAAGTATGGACTATCTAGCCTCTGGCAAACTTGAACTATCCTCGGTATTTTCACATCTCTTGCATATTTGAGAAATACCTGCGAGCTGTACACGTGACTTCCCTATCCTATCCCCTGCTATGCCACCTTAGCAATCGCTTTGGTGTATCGTGAGATTGCTCGACACTGTATATTTCCTTCAGCCGTGACTTACAAAAGAATAGTACCACGCCAGCGGATGTCGTCGCACGGAGTCCCATCGTTTTCCGTGCCGAGTCGTGACAACCCCCGTGTCGACGGCTGTGGCAACATTAACGCCAACATCAACACCAACGCATCCCGTAAGCGCAAAAAGCCTGGAGCAGGTAAGTTGCAATATAAGCTTCAGCTACACATACTCTCGGTATGCGCTATGTATACATGTTTTATGTGTCCATATGTGTAATATGTATAGAGGCGCATGCCGGCATGCTTCCAATTCTCACGGCCCAGTCGGCTAGCGATATTTACCTGGGCGAGAGGAGAAAAAACAATCCCCCGGTGCAGCGCATGTTTCCTATTCTTCTCATCTCTTCATGGTCCATTTTTGTTAATCTAATTAATTCTTCCTTTTCATAGTTCATGCATACAAAACTCTATCGATATATTCTGCACAAAAACTCAATTACTCAACGATATACACAAAATAATTATATGAATTTAGTCAATTTATTTGTATAGGAATTCAAAAAATTATCAACTGTTTTTATTCTAGAAATTGTCCCACTCAGAGATTTCATAGAACTCCACTGATAATTGAACTTGAATTTTTATTGCAGATCCTGGTCAGGGGGTGAACAATAATCGCGTTGACAGTGTTTCGGAGGGCCTGCCGGATTCTGAGACGAAAACCTTTTATGAGAATCTGCCCTTCCATGGTATTCAGACACCACAGAATAAGGTAAATACATGCACTTCAAGCACCACAAGAAATGCATACTTTCGTCATTGAAAAATATAATTTCTCTATAAATAATTACTCCCTCATTTAATGCATTTGCATTGGGAAAAGCACTAATTTTCATAAAGTTTTAAGGCAATTCAATGCGAGCACAAGTCTCGCTGTATAGCATATAGACGCGTAGTTGTTATGAATTATTATTAACGCGGGTCTCGCGTGCTAATACAATTTTTTTCATTCTCCCCTATTTTCAACTGCAGTGAGTGCTTGCTGGAGGGTTGAGTACTTGAAAAATCAACAAACTGTGTGAATAAAACCATTTTTTAATTTTTTTTTTCGAAAAAAAAAACGTATCAGTGGAGATCGAGGAGAGAAGGGTAACGTGTATAAGTGAACCTTCCCCATTTCCATGGGGAAATATAACGAGACACTTGACCAGTCGGGTTGCAAGTGGATTTACCAAAGCGTGATAAATGAGTTTCGGAATATACATCTTTGTGTTAGCGTAGTACCGCGTTAAATTACTCGAGAAGGATTTTGGGTAGAGTGAGGAGCTTGAGCAACAGCCCCCAATCAACTGATCACATTATAATGTCGAGCAAGACGAGTAATTGAATAGACGAAGGACCTTTAGACTTATGAATTTCCTATGTTGAAAATACCGATAACAAATACTCTCCTTGATATGAATGCTTTCGTGAATTTAACCACGTATTTTGCTCAAAAACTAACCATGGGTTTCCCTTCAGACTTTATTGCACATACGTACAAGTGATCTGGATGATACGTGGGGAAACCTCAGGTCGCGAATTTTCCATATTGGATATTCATTGAATATCATCATGACGGATGAAACATCAGAGGTAAAGGGGCTTGCGCGATATTTTCTTGCTAGTAATTCTCCCTCGTGCAATTCGATCGCTATCAGGATCACACATACACAACCATTTTGCCTCAGCTGCATGCATCCATATTACACAAGCGTAGCTCTATATATACAAGCGTAGCCCGACATCTCCAATCCAACGGATATTGAATTCATCTGGGATTCAATGCGCATCTAGCACAGACTGCCGAGTGAGAAAATCTCGTTTCACTTCTTCAGTTGAATTAACGGTTCAGCTCTCCGGGATTTTATCCCCAGTAAAATTATCTCCGAATTATCAAGCCTTTAACTATCGAGCGGACTCACTCATTCAATTTTTAATTAGCCAGCTTAGCGTTAAAGCGTAAAAATATAATTGTTAATGTATTTAACTTCCTTGCTTGCAATTGCATTAATCATTCATAAATTTGAGGAAATTGATGTTATCGAGCGGGAAAATATCAGTAAGTACAAGGTAATGCGAGAGAAGCGCAGGGAAATCATAGGGAAAGCCTATTTATTGTCATGACAGGATTTATTAAAGAGTAATGGTAGAGGTCGATGCGTGGAGTATGGAACCATAACACTGGAATGTATAACCTAGGTAAAATGCCTGCACGGCCATTTGTTGTTTTAGTTGGCTTGCCCTAAGTTTACTCGAGTTTGGGCTTTGCATGGCACGTTGCATTCAGCCACAACCTCGCCATCCTCTTCGCGTGCTGTTAGCCGTACCACTAGCCTCTACGACGCCAGTTCCGGATACGAATCAACCAAAAGCCACCTTGGTCCCCACTATAGTTCTCATAATATGCCAAGAAACAACTCGCCAGAGCCAAAGTACAATACCTTAAAACCAAGACGTAGGAAACAGCAGCATCACAAACAAACACAATTTTACTCATTACGCGTGTGTCGTAAACACGACAAGACCCGTAGAAGTTATCAACTGTATGCTATACCAATTATCAAACAGTGTCCACACAATAGCGACCTTCCCAATACATTCCAGCCTGAGACTTGTGAGAATACGTCAACATCTGGAGGGACACAGTGCGCTATGAGTGTTGATAATGCGCTGACAATTCTACCACCAATTCCTGCACCCAGAACCATCAAAACAGATCCTTCCAAGCATACTTATCAGAATGTCTCGCCACCTGTTTATCCGGAAAAGAGGAAAAAAAATCAAGAATTTAGACCGAATAAATAGCATGAGATTGTTTGCTGATAGGTCACGGAAAATCGAGACAAATTCATAATTAGAGCTTCCCTATTTCCGCAATTAATTAACTCGAAGTGATTAACCCAGCCGATCCCCATACTCCTTGACAACTTTACCATACCACCAGGACAACACAGCTCAGAGGCAGCTTTACCAAGCAATGTGGTGTGGCATACAGTTCACGTACATCTACAAACTACGGTACAGTATGGTATATATGATAATAAAGGAGAAACCGCACCTTGGCGCTCGGTGTCGACGTCTGTCACAATGTTTGGACAGTAAGGACTGAGGTATAATTCCCATTCCGTTGGATAACACCAACAGTTTTTCCACCAGGGCTTCTGCATTGAATATAATTTACATTTCGCCATGCTATTTGTAAAGTAGTACTTGCCTAGAAACACTCACGGAGTACTCAACGAAATGATAGAACCAAATGTAACATATGTATGTGAGAAAACTACAACGAGAGGAGAGCAATTTATATGCATGCTTTTATGTTGAGAATGCTGAACAGCGGATGTGTACACTGAGTTTTAATCGGATTGGCATATCTTCTATTCCCCCTATGTTCCGCTGGATCCCGGAAATCTACATTACCACCATTGTTGTGCATGCTTCATGACTGATCAGGTAAGTTTTTCGCAAAATAACTTCGGCTGCTTGTTAATTATAATAATTTACATGGTAAAAAATGTCTTTAATGAACAGCAACTCGACCTGTCAGCCCTGTCAGCATTGTATAATTATTGAGTTAACATTTTCATCAAGATAATTAAAATCATGATGTTTATTAACAAAAATTCGATGTATCCTGCCTGTTCCAGCCGAAGAATTTATATGACTACAAAGATCATTATCAACAGCGTCATGAAAAACATAATCAGAATATCCAACAATATGGGTATTCATTGCCGAGCAGCAGTACCAGCCAACTAACATTACCACTAACCCGCAGCCTCTATCATTCCTCTTTGGTGAGCCACCTGCAGACTTCACTAGTCCATACTAACAGTCTATGCCAAAGTTACTCACACCGTCAAGAGGGTAGTGGTATAATCGATGGTAATGGCAATGGTAGTGTCAGCGATACATTATCGTTATCAATGCTGCGTGGTGATAATCATTTTGATATTGATCTAACTTATGAGCATCAGTCTCACACACGACAGCGCCGTAATGAGCGTAAAAAATATCGTAAGCATGATAGAAAACCCAAATACCGACGCAGTCCCTCCTCCAGGGAAACTTGTTTCGGTAAGATTCAAGAGTTGGGTATACCCGAGAGCTATAAAATATCATATCCTCACTACTACGAGGACGATGGCATTACTGGTTCTCCAAATAATCAGAGTAGAAGCTATCCAAAGCAAAATTCTAGCCATGACGATACTACCAACGACAAACTGTGCAAAGAAAACAGAACTGTGTACACGGAAAATATCCGCGATTCAACAAGAGTATCACCCGTTCTTGGACAATACGCTGAGCTCGATTTTCGTGATGTTGGCCAGGAGATTGACGTTTAAAGGTAAGATTTGTCTGTCGGTTTTAGGCTAAAACACTTTATTCCATGTATCTGGGAGAAATGCAACCGTCAATTCAAACAATCGTCATGTCCATTCGACGATCAGTCAGCCGTTTGAAATCTGTCAGTTTCTTCTTATTTATCGGTCTATGCTCCTCATAATCTATCTTTATTTTCCTTTCTCTTTCCCAAACTCTGGTATAGGAAAAATATTTTCGTCTGAGCAGGCAGACGAATTTTTCTCGAATGCATTTGCTACCTCTTAAAGCTACTTTTTCGCAGATTCTCGTTTACTTTTTTGTGCATTACCATTGCAACTACTTTACTTTACCCAACTCTCACGCGTTCATTCCATTCTCCCCTTTCACACACACCTTAGCGCAACCTTCTATCTGTGTACCGTGGGAATATGTCTAGTTATAAGAATGTGCAGAGAGACAGAGGCGTTCTCGAGTAAGTAGATAATGTCCTGAAAATCCCTTTTTCCTAATTTACTGCTGTGTGAGATACTAGAGACCCTGACTAATCCAAAATTCAGGGACAGACCCGAATGGTGATTTGGTGTATTTTATGAATGAAACTCTAGAGACAGGAACAAAACCGTTTATCACTGCTTGATAAATGCTTCATGGACATCCTGTTTGAAAGTTCGAGGGCTATTGAGCAAATTATTATTAATCGGTTTTTGGGCTCTGAAACACTAGTTCGACAGCTCAGCAATTGTATATTTGTTCGTAGGGTGGACTGCGAGTGAAGAGCGACACGTATATTTACTAGTGGACAGTTCCGGTACCCTCTATCGCTATAACTTATTCTATGCTGTGTCGCCAGTCCGGACGCGCAGGTACTAAAATTTTCAAAACACGTAATGGAACGATCGGTCTAAATCAACCAGGGAGTGTAGTAAAAAAATCTATTCCTGCATATGCTCAAAGTTTAACTGAAAGCGCTTAAAAATTTTACAGTTTTCATTTGTGTTCTCTCTTTCGCTAACAATAGTAACAATAGTTGCGTGAGGTGCATCAACTAGTTGAAATATCTATAGACACTCAAACTATTTCACCTCGTCACCTGCAGTTTTTCGAATACTCCATTTTTCTTCTACCTTTAGAAAATTAATCACTCAATAGTCAGCGTCCAATTCCATCTGTATTAATGAACATTCAATTCCGTTTCCTATCATTGAATATTTAATGTAGACTGCTATAATTTTTCTGCAGAGCAGATTTTCTGCTCGAATGTTTACATTCTTTACACGCGTCGCTAGCCAAACATTTGCTTAATAATTTGCTTAATAGCCTGTCCATTCACCTTATTACCAACTAAACCGCTCAATGATCATACATACAACGCTTGTCAAGGCGCTCATCGATCATTGTTTGCTGATGTAGTCTGATCTATAACCTATATGGCAAGCACGATGTGTCGACCATTCTCACCATTAGCACATATGGCGCACGTTATCATCTCTGAGTGGTGAGGGAAAGCTCCTTAACCCAAATCAGGTACTACCATGTAACAACAAATAGATCCGACCTCACTTGCCGCTCATCATATCAATTTTATTTGCCTGTTCATAAATATTTGTGTCATAGTTTATTTCTCGGATTTATCGATTCGGTTAGGTACCTGCGAAAGAATGAGTTCTTAAAATTCGGATGGGGAAAAATATTAAGATAAACGAGTCTCCCGGGAATTTTAATTCACACCGGCAAACAATAAAAGTAGATAAACAAAATCCAATAAAATGGTGTATTTCGGCAGTAGGTTGTTAGGAACTTTGCGGCCGGGTGGCAAACAATAGTTTTTGTCATTCAGTCCGTGTGCGGGATTTTACCAGCGGTCAGCGGTCGTGAATCGTTGCCTCACAGACTGAATGACAAAAAAACTAAAACAATATATCATCCCTTATCTTCTCACACATCAAATCAACGACCATTTTCACATTATCCCTTGTTTCTTTTTTTTTATGTTTACCGATTTTTCACTCAGCCCTTCAAACCAGAGTTCTCCGATCTGGATTATGCCGACGTCGACTACAGATCGTATGGACCTATAAACTATAAAGCTGCCAGTATTGCTCTACTGCAGACGCGAAAACAACCGCAACAGCAGCCACTCGAAAGACGACCGCAGATGTACGGGACACAAGACGACAATGAGGAATTACTCTGAATATGCACACAGTCATAATTTTGAACAGTGAAGTGAACGGATTATTCGAATTGAATTATTAGAATTTCATGAAAAAAACAGCATAATCGATACCTTTGAAAGAATGAGTACAATTGCCCGTCAACTACAATGCGCTCATGCCCACTGCTGCGGATTATCCAGATGAAAAAAGTGTCTCTTTAAATTTATACTTGCCATTACGAATAACCAAATTAAAAAAGACAAATGTTTTTAGAGAAAAATGTATAAATATATATATATATATATTTATATATATATATACTTTTTTATACGTTGAGTGTGTGCAGGGAACAAATTTGATAACTGCGTATATTCGCGAGGCAGTATATAGGTCTATGGAGGGATAGATATCCCTTGACACCTATGGAATTATCTTGAGTACAGAGTACGTCCCTAATATTAGAGAGCTAATGCAGGCCGAGACGTGAACAATTCTAATAGTTCACTACCAAACATTCATCATATATATACAGAAAATATTTCACATCATACGCGGAATTTTCAACTTTCACTTAATGGACAATATATGTTGTAATATCAATCTATGTTGCCACGTTCCTGTTCCGCTGTGAATTCTATCATTCAAACTGTATAATTAGATGCCCCACTGTTGTAAATGATAGTCTACTTAATTAATACCAAACGAACACAAAAAAAAATATTTTTTAGACATCTATATTGGTGGATGAAGCATTAGGAAGAATTAAATTACGATATTAATTTGCGGGTTAGTCTAATCAGAACTACTAGCTGATATCTCATTTTTTCCTTGAATTTTTCACTGAATAATTCATATACAATCGGCCATGGCCTTTTAGTCCACTTAAAATGCACTTGGTGTACCAGAGCTACACGTTCAATAGTGTAAACAGTGTAATTGATCAACCGATGTAAAATGTTTTGTACAGTTAAATTATAAGCACTATTCGAAAAACGGAAGTAATATTGAATAATATGCCAATTAGTCATCTCTACCGTCCAGCAAAAGCATGAATGAAGGAATAAAGAATTTTTTATTTGGCAAAAAATAAGTCTAGCCAAATTGGAACATTTTTAAAATGTATTCAAGTCTTTATTGAATCTCGGGTGCTTTTAATTTTTGATTGCGGTTCACATCGAATACCTGTCCATTCTCATTCAAACAAGGTCATTCAATTGAAGCTGTCTATTATTGAAAATCCTTGAATTCAATTGAAATCAGTCTTTTTCATCAGGTTCATTATGAAACTAACATCTCCCTGTCAAAGTCATTCTGCAAAAGTAATTCTGTTCCTCAAATCCGAATGGTTCTGTATGTCATGTCTTATCATACGATCGACAATGTTAAATTTTCCGATAACACTACACATGCCTCATATATGCGGTACTGCATATTGGAGATTCACTCTATTTAAAACGGTGGAAAGAATGTAGTTTATAGCAGGAGGCCCACAAAAAATACATTTTTTGGTTTTGCATGATAAGTTGTGTAAACTCCATGATATTAAAATAATTTATGACTACTTCGGGCTTCAATTCCAAATATAAAGATGGAGTTTCCTTTTCCCTCTTTAACGCGTCGGAACGAATTTTAAACCGTCCAACTAATTTCGTTATTTGTGGAAGCTGGTCATATACTACCAGTTTTCAGGTAATTAATAGCGGAAGATCCAGGTGTCATTAATGGATTGCAATTCACTTTTGAGATTATATGAATCCATGCACTGTAGCCTGATATAACATCATCTTATGTGGAAGTTCGAGATTTGCACAGAAAATATTTTCGGTTTTATTTCACTTTCAAGATCAAATTGATTTACAAATAAGGATTGAGACAACGACAGTCTGTACGAACAAATTAAAAATAGGATCATTAAGAATAGTACACTAAAGCTTTTTGTTTTTGTTTTTTCGTTTATTTCGGAAGCTTTAGCATGAGTTTAAGGCGAGTCCTATAAAATACTTTTCCGCATATACCGGAAGGAACGAAATTACTACCTGAAATTTTCTATGAATATTCAATGGATAAAATACGGATATCACATATTTTCGATTTTTCCATTTGGTATGTTCGTTCAATACTTGCATTTATGAAAACCCATACCACCAACAAAGAGTCGTACACAAAATACTAACGAATTCCCACTTTTGTCGAATTCCCTCCAAACGGTCACATAGTCATTAAGGCGAAAACCCTCAAGAACAAATTGTAAACATGCTGAAGAATCGCTACTATCGGAAAAAAATCAAATGAGGGTTTAGGAAATTTAATAAAATCCCTCTAATCAGATTTTCATTCACTACATAAATTGGAAACTATACACTACCTCTATTGATTTTATTCATCCCTTCATCTACATTGTCGTATATTCTGGTATTTAATATTAGTTATACCACAAACTAACTGGTAAACGAGGTATTCGATGTATTGTAAATAAAAAACATTTGATGCTTCCCTCCACGTCGCTGTGCTTCAACTTTGTGCCAATATTATATTAATACTCATTCAATATTTAATTTATACATCATCGATACAATGAAACAAAAATCAATATTAGTCAATAGAATAATCTCCAATTGCTGATAATCGCACGTACACCACAGAGTTAATTAAGGAATCATATTCAATGATAATTTATTGTTTCATTGTGATACAAATATTTGTATAAATATTTATATAATGTTACTACCCAGTGGGAGGCATATCATAAAGAATAGAAGGAAAGATATTCGCAGTTCCTCGACGATCGTACCAAAGATTCATAACTCCGACGTCATTATGTAATTATCTAGCATTCTATGAAAGCTGACTCACAATTTGTTCTTCCTTAATTTTCATCAGATATATGCATTATTGGTAATAAGTTGCACAGAATTTGGAAGTCAGGTTGTAGATACATGTAAAATTGTATTTAAAACGATGGAAAGTATCTCCAATGTATTATATGTCCTATTGAAGCCATATATATTCTATTATCGCGAATATCGCACTGTGTTATGAGATTAATAATATTAAAATATTTATTTTAAATTTCATTCCTTTGTTTGTTACTCATATATAATTAATGATGGTGATTGACCAATCAGTTGTGTTTCCAAATCACTTGTTTCTCTGTATTTATTTGACTCTCACAGTTGTTATTGTCCACGAAACATCTACAGTAGACTCCCGTTGTAGTCGCGGGCATGGGGTTGTAGGGGATGTGAATTCAGAGTATTCAATTATGTGCAACTACCACCACGCGCTCGCTGCAACAGTAAACTCCATTTTTTCACAGTAAATTTGGATACGAGAGAACATTATTTTTCGGCTTCATTCCTCCCGGAATCCAATTCCTAATCAGACTAAACAACGGATTGTTTACAAGTTGGAGCCTGGAGGTAGTAGAGAGGTGCGACTATAATAGGATTCTACTATACTGTTATTTGCCTGACCGATGGTATAATAATAAATTTATTAAATGTATACAAAGTGAATCATAATTATTTCAGAGCTGTTCGTTGATAATGCAGGAAATAACGGTGGGTTTATTAAAAATCATTCGGAAAAGAAAATCACTGTAATTCTTCCTGCGCAGATAATTATGGTCACACCAGTACTGTATCACTTGTTACAACTATTAAAACTATTGTTATGCAACAAATAATTCTCTATGGAATGAAAACGAGAGTTTATAATCGTACATTGCACACAAAGACAAAACAACGTGGAAATATAAAACAACAATATAAAGATGATATTATAACTAATGTATAATATCACACTATTGGTATTGAAAGTTTATATTAGGAAAACAAACTTTCCTTTTTCAATGATTATGAACAATTTATAAATTGTACAGGAGTTTAGTCCATGTGTATTTACATATTATTCTCAAATACCCAAACCAGGAACTCTGTTATCTGTAATGATAAAATCATTGATTATAAACATTGTAAATATTATTGATCCGTATAGTGATATTAAGACGAAAGAAGAATGAGAGTGAACGTTAATAAAGAGACAAATTAACAATTAACGTGGGTGTATTCTCATTGATGAATTTCGTTGCATCAATTACTCCTCGATAGCTATCAGAAATTGAATCACGGACTCGATTGCGTCGAGGGCTTGATTGTGTTAAAGGCGAGCGTTAGAAAATTACCGTTCAACTACAGGGCAAGCTGAATTAATCATGAACCATTAATCATTAGTTTGAATTATACTAGTGACGTCTTCAGCAAACCTATCATGTGATTAACTCCACTGTGGTAGACCCTTTGATTTATCATAATTCAGAATAATCTGACAGTTCTGGTTTATCGAGAATCACTAGTGGACGATCAATTGCAGCTGCATAAAATGAGAGTAAAACACTCGTTGGGATAAAAAAAATGCCAGTTCTAAATAAACGGTGAATAATTAACATGAGAAATTCTAATTTCATTAAAATGGCTGTATCAAGCATTCTCCAATATATCATATCGACCATTTACTTTTTCCTCTAGTTTGCCCATTTTCCTTGTATTTATTTATGAATTGACTGTCATTTTTTTCTCATTTTATTTTCAACACCAGAAACGATGGGAACGAGAAATATTAATGAAGTTTCCAAGCCAGGCAAGTTTCATTGAAAGAGGGGTGGCATTCTACGACATGCAACCACGGAAACACATACACAGGTAATACATTGCAGTTGAACATAGGTGTATGTACTGGAGGGATTTCGCGACAAGAGGAAGCACTTAACGCACGAGACCAACTGCCCCAACCAGCGGCTGCATTTACGTAATTGCATTGGCAGTCTAGGAGGGGTGGTGACACTTTTTTTTCATTCTACCTTTTGGCACTCCACTAGTCGTCTCTCTTCATAATCCCTTTTTTTTTTAATTCTCTCATATTCTAGGGGGTCAATAATTGAGACGAGAATCAGAGGAGGAAGGTTAAATTAAAGTTGGAAAAATTATTGGCGTCATCAAAGGGCTTGAACTCTGGTTCATTAGGTACACGTAATTAATACTATTATATGCATCCAAAAACAAAAGTGTCCGTGCACTGGCCCATCAATATTTATAAGAGAGACGTGTGTCAATGAATATGCATAGCTCTTCTAAGATATCAGAAATAGTTTCTTCATATTAATGGTCTACTCGAGTATGAGATAAGACCGAGGTCGGAATCAGACATATCATCACACAACATCCCCTATATTAATTTTCATGACAATACTTTATGCATCAGCAGAATATATGTGACTCTCAATGCTAATTACATGCTAATTAAAAATTTTTATGAGAAATGACACCATGTCATTGATACGAGCAATATCCGCGAAGCGGACATTTGACGGAATATTGAAGTCAACTGAAGATGGATAGATTTACCTAGTGAATTCAGTGCAATGCATACAATTTCCGGGTGGCGTGAACAATGCAGATGAAGGAGGTACATGCGTTTCGGTGATGTGCCCCATATCAACCGACCCCTGAGAGCGACAGAGAGAGTGCCACTAAACTACTATACACACGATAAATTATGTGCTACAGCTCCGTTGACGATAATAGTGATAATAATGATACGCTGCAACTCGAAATGGTTTATTGTGCAAGCTTCAAGCGATACCGCACCCGGAGATTAGTTATCTCAACGTCGATCACATCGTACCCAACCAATTCACCGATTCATTAATTCTTTAATTAACTTTGAATCAACAGTAGAGATTGAAAAATGAATTTTCTTTCAAGTAAAAATACCGTTGAAAATGCAGTACGGATACATTGATGAGTCTACAATCTGATGACATAAAAAAATCTGTATTTATAAATTTTGTTTATTTACCCTTGAGAATAACTCCGTACCCCTGTTCCTCATCAATTTTCTTCTCCGGTAATACCGTTCACCGTTGACATTTCCGGCATGAGATTGCTTGTCGCACGCAAGCGCATAATTCCATTCCATTCTCACTCACAATTTTACCTCCTGTTTAATTTCGACTCCTTCTTCAGGTCAATTCATCCGTCTCATAATAAATCATCCTCATCGTTGAGTCCTCCACTTGACAATTATCCTTTAATAACTCCGAGACACTTCAATTTCGAATAATTTAATCGGAAACAGAGAGATGAAATTGATGTGGAATTGAATCTCCTCGAGGAATATATGGAAAATATACAGGGAGAAGGGAAGAGACTCGTAGTTATATGAGAGGAAGAAAAGAAAAAGTAAGAGGATGGGGAAATGACGGATATGAAAATTGATTTTGGTAGGTTACGGAATAGCTTCAACCGAGAATTTATGGATTTATGGACAGTCACGGGTGGCAAGCAGTGGTAAAGACGATTGGACAGGTGAAGCGAAAGAGCGCACTTTTCATCGGCATTTCTACCTCTCAAGTGCAATCCTTTCGTAGATACGTGGTAGCGAATTGGTTCAATCTTCTTATTTTATTTTTTTTTATTTTCCACCCCCCACTCGCGTTCTATTATGAATCCCAGTGAAAATCCATCGAGAGGTGTCACGCGGTTCGACACGAAGAGCGACTTTTTTCCATGGAATACATGAAACCGCTGTACTAATGCAAACTTCGTCCATGAAAAGTGAACCATACGTATAAAAGGAAGAAATATTGGTTTGCCAACCAACAAAAGGGGGTACAGATTTCAGTCCAAATCCATTCGGACATACTAGCGCATACAGGGCTGTGTATGTGTACCCATATTTAAATATATATATGTGCAACGGGTGCAGTGTGGAAAATGAATGAGACTGTCATCCGCATCGCCGCATAAATATGACTTATGGTTACCAAGAGGAGAGGCTTCCTCTATATTCCAACGTCCCTTTCTTCAGGGCATCCGTTCTCTGTTATCAGGAATATACCCCCTAACACGCCGCAATAAATTACTTTGACTAACGAGAGCTATGGCATTTTCCTCCATCTTATATAATTGCATTAAATTGAATTGAATGCGCGGGACAAATTTTCAAATCAATTCGATAGATTATCATTATTGTTACCGTTATCGTTAGAGGATCGCACCTGTGAACTTATTATTTCTCTTGGCGTTCTGACGTCTCTGTTCATCCTTAGTCATCACTGTCAGGATCAATCCGACCAAGAGGGCTGAACAAAGACAAATGTGTACTGCAACATCGCCGTAGTACTTTTTCAGTTGGCTGCAAACTAGGATCAGGATTATACCGTATAAGTTATTTCCTATGTTTAAAATTCCAGTGGCCAGGGACTCCGACTCCGGATAGGTATACTCGGCACACATTTCATAGCCCAAGGCTAAGTAACCCGATATAAAGAATCTAAAAAATTAAACATTTCATTAAGAGAGATTCGCCATGAGGTATATGGAAAGAGTTTATTAAGTACAGGCTTTGGGAAAAATCAAAAATGAAGATGCTTTGGTTAGAATAGTAAGCTAAATGGAAAACCCATTTAAGAAAGAAATTTCAGACACCCCGTCATATTTAGCTGATTTAATGGCTTTCCTTTCCATTTTCAAAATTAATTTTTCAATTAAAGTCATAACAAAAGAAAGATTTACCCGAGGATGGAAGCTGCTATGTAGGTTAATGAATTACTCTCGATCAATATTGAAATGGTGAAAAATATCTGACTGCATAAAGTAGAAAGATAAACCGTTACTGTAGTCTCCCTGCAAAATTATTAATCAGTTATTAAACAAGGTCAATTAAGAAAATATCATATACCTGTATACATTAATACTAATCATACGTCAAGAGACAGCGGACATACTTAAATTTCTGAGTCTTATCAAGAATAAGGCCGAATGTGATGGAACCGAACATTCCCATCACAAGGATGATGAGCCCTAATCTACCAGCAAATTCCTCACCATCCTGAAATCAGGATAATTATGAGAACAAATAAAAAATCAAAGTATTCAATGGAATCGGCATTTGATCAATTACCTCAAAGCGAGCCAAGACAATTTGATTCAACATAGTGCTGAGGGCATTCAACACTCCTATTCCCAATCCGTATGAATTACAAAGTATCAAGTAGCTTGCGTTGGTCATCAGTCTTTTAATTGATTCTACGAGTGTCCTTTCTGTTCCATCATGTTCCTTTTTCTGGAGTGCACGTGTTTCACTGGGTGGATATTTCGGTTCATCCTTGAATACTGTTTTCCCATTGCCCAATATAAAACATGTCAATTAAAAAGACATTGCATGCCAAAAGGAGTCGACCTAATTTTCAATGTTGAATCGATATCACATCAAATCCAGTAGGATACATTATGGAAGCTTACATATAATAACTAGTAGAAAGCTGATAGAAGAGAGAATAGCCATAGTGATAAATCTTCTCCGACAGCTTCAATATTTTCACGATTTTTGACGAATAGTGGTGTCAAACAAAACCCCAAAGCAACACCAAGTTGATATCCCAATATAGCCAGTGAAGTAGCAGTAGATATCTGCCGTAGTGGAAACCACTGGGCACCAAGTCGTCCGGGAATAGTTAAAATAACTACCTGCATAATATGTTTCTGAGAGCATCTTATTTTAAGTGGTACAAGCCGTCAAATGTTTGGAAATTATTCCTTAAGTAAATTGATTGTTAATATTTGCCGAGATACAAAACTAAAAGCCTGACACGTGTCAGCTTGAGTGGCTCGTGCGTGTGCTCTCTACCTTTTCATATTTTTTTCTAAAATCCTCATATAATTATCATCGTATAATGATAATTATAATTAAAAATCGATATGTTGCCGCCCTCCAAATGCTGAATCGCCTTATCTCCGCTTATGTTTTTATCATTTTTCTCAACTGAAGATTGTGATTGCAAAGAAACTAAATAATACATTAAAATAATTAAGAGCTTGTTCTCTTATACAGTATTGAATTTCCTCGTATCTCAACCAAACAGATTGCTGGACAAATAATTTTAAATGACTTTTATTGCATAACTTAGAGAGATATTTTTTTCTGGAAAGCCTTTGGCCTTTGGCTCACTTCGAATAAATTCAAAGACATAAAAAGCAAGACGGACAGAGTTGTCCGTCTGCAACGAGAGAGTAACAAGTGCTCTTTGGCTTGACGAAAAAAAAATCGCGATAGGACGCTTAACGTAGATCCTTTAAGGGAAAATCGCTTTTTAAATTGGCCCCCACTGGTCTGATGTAGAAGTGACGGTACCTGACTAACTGCGAGAAATGATTGACCACCAAGTGTCAAGAGGAATCGATCGGGATGGACTGAGAAGATTTTAACCCACGAGCCAAGGCAGATTAGACCACTACCAACGATGTTGGTCCACCTCAGACCAATGCGTTCAGCAATGTGAGAGCCCGGAATTACTAGCGGTATGGGGAAGAGCATGTACGCCATTGCCGTATAATCTACCTTCTCCACTGTCACGTGATAATATCTGGAAACAGTATTCGATTACTGAAATCTAGTATCTCTTCGTTTAACACTCATCTTTAATGCAAATGTTACAATCACCTTGCTATGATATTTCCGACAATGGAATATTCCACCCATTGAAAAGCACTTATTCCACAATAGAAAATGTAAACTGCTATTATTAGCCACCGCGTTTTCGACGTTTTAATCGTCACTTTTGATCCATCGACACTTATCATTTCGTAATTCAACGAAAATACTTTATCAGTGCATTCTATCAATGCATATTCTGCACTTCCTGCTTGTACTGCCATTTTACCAATTCAACTATGAGAAATCACAAATTGTTGCAGTACAGCTTGATATTTGATTGACTTATTCACTTGCAGCGTTTCAATTCCTTTCGGACTCATAGCCATTTTGTACCACTGAACGGTTCTTCCAAGTATGCGTTCTCGGCTAATTGCTCTTGATTGCACAACATCAACGTTAAAAAAATGGAATAGAAAGTTTCCTGGAGTACTTTGAAATACAAAATGAAAAGCGCTTCTACGCATAAACCTTGATTTAATTCAATTCTGCGTTATCTCGGGTGCAACACAAGGAGATATCGTAATATACGCTTTATATGTTTGCGGAGAATCTGTAATTGTGGACACACTATCTAGTACATATCAATATGGATGCTGTGAAATATTTGTTTTGCTGTGGAAAATTGTGAAATGCTCTGCGGTGAATGTATTCTAAATATCATCGGATTGTATGAACGTGCTGTACGATTATTCAGAATCCTCATCAGCGATGAAAACTATATACATATGCAAGTGAAATGCTCTCCTGTTCTTTCGTTTTTATTTCCTGAAATAGCTCCGAAAACTAGTTTCTGCTGGAATTCGACTCGAAACAAAATGACAGTGTACCAAGCACGATAAGTAATACTTCTGTTACAGTAATTATGCTTCCGTCTCAACCAGAACGATCATGGTGCCCCTGGTGAACGAGAATAGGATACGTCTGTATTCTCCATCGGGAGATGAAAACTGATAAAGAGCAGAAAAATACTGTACAGGTTTTTTACACATCTCCTTTTGATGTCTTAGCGCACTCAGGTTTATTAAATTCTATTGGACTCTGTCCAATGGCTGGAGACACTACGGGTCGTAGTTGAGGTTGGTCAAAAGAAGTACCTGTATACAAGACAAAAGAAAAAAACTTGTACTGTAATGGGAAGGACAAAGGAACAAAAAAGTGATCCGCTGGACATCCATTCAACAACACCCTAAAGAATACAAAGCAATATTAAAAGAAAAAGTATAATAAGGAACAGAGATGCAGATGAAAAATCGATTATTTGGAGGATATTGCACTGATCGATTTGTTCTGCTCTCTTGAACAAGTGTGCACGTCGAATAGTTGGGTGAATAGTAGGGAATGGGGGGAGAAATAGGGGGAGGAGCAGCGGGAGAATAGGGAGACCAGGGAGGAGTTGGCAGCAATGGTAATTGCCATTCGACATGCGCCATTGATGAGAGCACGGCGTGCCCCCGAGAAAAGCACACATCCGATCAGAAGCATGATCGTGCAAGTGCGAACCACATATACGACCAGAAGAGATGAAAACTATTCACATATCTGTGTTACAAAACCATCAACCCTGCTTTTGTTACTTTGCCTTGTACCATCCTTGCACCATCCTCGACCTTCTCTGGCTGTTATATATGCACGGTACATGGTGAAAATTTATTATGGACTAACCCAACAGAAAACAAAGCCAACAGATGGTGGTTGGTTACAATATACAATATAGGCTGATTGGTGACTGTTAGAAAGCTTATATCACTCATTTGCTACTGACTCTGAACTGTTTAGTAGTGTTCACCGTTGAACATTTGGATGTCCCCTATGCTGTCTCTGATGTATCGTACGTTACACTCAATGTGTATGACTATGCATATCCTCTAGCGCGTAGTTTAACGGAATCTCATTGTCAGCCGGACGTAATTAAATTGCACGTCCCAATGAGCGACGCTTGACAACCACCAACATTCCTGCAACTCTGCGTGGCCTATGAGCTTTAATCTGCCGATTCATTTCGTGTTCATTTCTTCTATACGTAGATCTCGAAGTTCGACATGATGGCATTGATGAAATGGTTTCTATTCGACAAGTAGTGGATTCAGGGTTATTGTATGTTTTTCAATTTCAGTGAGTTCTGGGAAGTATGAAAATGACAACTGCGATTGTAGGTGGGCGTGAGACTCGCTGCAGCTTGGCCAAACATAACGGCCCAACGGATTACATCTGGGATTCAACTAATACGTCTACAGAATTAATCCAAGTTGAAAGCCGCATCGCGCACTATATACTCGTGAATATAACATATCAAGCAAAGTTAGTAGTAACTTCTCTTTTGCTTCAACCCCCCGTCTCATTGCATAACTCTACCCTGGCTTTTCATTATATCACTCTACTTGGTGTAACGATGGGGCATCACAAATGAATAATCGGATCCTCACTTTCCAAGACTTGTGGGAGTGTATGCCACATTAATGTTTTAAAAGCACCTGGAGAAGTGTTTTTCAGAGGATGTATGAAGAAACTTCATCACATTAATTCTAAGTTTGTGCACAAAGATACTTTGTGATTGAATTTTTAATGATTACCATGGCCATTATAAATTTCTTGGATTATCTTGGAATTTTGCAAGCAGCTCTGAAATTTTGAAGAGTATATACTTTTCATGAGCTTTTCAAGTTTGAGGGACTTATATTATTATTTAGGGAAGTTCAAGGAGCTTCTGAGACCGAAGGTGTGGGTATTGTGAGCTGCATATATTGGACATGTAGAGTGTGGTTTATGAAGTACTTAATGGTTCACAGTTGATAAATGGATACCGGCCGTGTGGTGTCGGCAGTGAAGAGTTATTTCACGCAGTAGGATGCGAATGCTGTAGATTTTCCAACAAGTAGGCATTATTCTCTCGATACTATTTAGGTTATACTAGGTTATACTAGAACTAGCGCCACTCCGGCCGGGCCGTTAATGAAATTCCTGTTTTCAAATGCATCGGCGAATGTTTTATGACAATAATTTTTTGCGACTATTGCAGATGTGGGCTTCTCAGAACTGGCGAGTTATCACGAATTATTAAGGGATGAAAGAAATGTTGATGGATGAATGGAGAATTTAGTTTCTCATGGAATACAGTTTGTTTCATTGCTTAATATTAATTAGGAGAAAAGAGATGAATTTTTGAAGCCGAGTGAATTACTTGTAGATCACTAGGCACTTCGATCAAAGACATTCCCCACTTATTTTCCGTCGGTGAAGCTTGCCACATTAATTCCCGATCTATTTTCCCTCCACTCCATACCTTACTGCTCCTATGCCGTTATCGACACTCTCGACCTCGTGCCCTACCTTATTCACGGGCACGGTCCACTGATCAGTGGCACGGTCTCTGATTTAGTTCCGCAACCGCGGCTCGCAAATTTGGCTGTTGAACCTTTGCCATAAACGTTGCCGATCTCCCCTATAATCTGTGCTAGTACCAGAGATGTAATCAAAGAGGATAGGCTAAAGTAGAGGTTCAGTACTGGGGGTTTGACTGACCCCAGCGGCATCGTAATACCGCACCCCAGGAGAGAGAGGGCCCTACATGCAATGCTGTAGTGCTGCCAACTCAGCAACTCCTCAGTAGCTGTCCCACTGCCACAGGGACATTTCCATTCAATTTAGTGGCCAGTAGAATTTTCTCTAAATTTCTCATTCTGATTCTGATTCTGATGAATTGAAAGTTGAAAAAAACGCTGAAAAATGTCTACATGACCAACCAACCAACCAGGTCAACCAGCCAACCAACCAACCAACCAGATCAACCCATCAACCAACCATATCAACCAACCAACCATATCAACCAACCAACCAGATCAACCAACCAACCAACCAGATCAACCAACCAACCAACCAACCAGATCAACCAACCAACCAACTATATCAACCAACCAACCAACCAGATCAACCAACCAACCAACCAACCAGATCAACCAACCAACCAACCAACCAGATCAACCAACCAACCAACCAGATCAACCAACCAACCAACCAGATCAACCAACCAGCCAACCAGCCAACCCCCCTTATACAGATCTGATTACGCTCCATCCAGCTTAAGTAAAAAATCCTAGAAATTCAGAAAATAGCAAATAAGGAATAATCTAGATGACATTAGGGGTAATCAAGAGAATCTGCATATGGGAGAATAAAAGTCAAGAGTCAGCATAGGGATTTTTGGGCAACGCAAACGTCTACATCCTCTCTTTTGACTGGTCCCTGTGGCAGCGGGACGGTTACTGAGGAGTTGCTGAGTCGGCAGACACCTCAGCATTGCATGTGGCACCCTCTCTCTCATGGGGTGCGATACTACGATGCTGATGAGGCCAGTCAAACCCCCAAACTGAGCCTCTACTTTAGTCAATCATCTTTGGATGTAATTTTGTACTGTGTAGCCCTCTCAATGTGAAAATTTAAAATATTTCTCAGTGCTCTCAAGATCCATACCCTCTGGGGTTATCGCGACGCGTAGAAAAAAATGGCGTTGAAAATGCGAAAACGTGGTCGAAAAATTGGAAAGAAAATAAATTACAGAGAATTGCCCAGCCATCCCCTGATCCCTGAGATTATTCATTAGAATGAAACTCGTTCTAATTGATGGCCAATGTGGGACAATTACCAGGAAAATTAATAATAAATGCACCCTCAGAGTTGTAACCGTTTTTTCGTAGAATTTCAGGGCGAACAAGCGTGTGTCCACATTTCACCTCATCGCTTATCAGCGATTGGTGCAATGGAGGCGCGTGGTTTATAAAAGCAGCCAATTCCCTGTGTTTCTGATGACAAGGGCGACGATGCGGGCTTCTCCCCTTTGACTGTAGTAAATAACAATAATCAAACGCTATCTACATCTTTCTCAATCTTGTATAGCCAGCAATAGGTTCCGTTCATTCTCGGTGGGTCGTGGAGCAAGCCGGTACCGGTGTTATCCGTAATTAAAGTAAAAAAGTATACCACAGAGAGTGGAAAAAGGAGCGAATCGAGTGAAAATTTGGCAAAGAGCTTCACCCAGCCAATGGAATAAATTTCAACGGGTAATTTATAACGATACGGCAGAGTTGTTGAAATTTCGTACACCTCGTACGCATTTCGCATCCACCATTGGCAACGTATAATTTTGGGCAAAAGGCCACTCTTTCCCGAAAGCGTGTGTGCGTGTATTTGGATCGTCCATCTCATTCTGTTGGTTGCTCCTTTTACAAGTTGCGTGGTCTAGTGTAGAGAATAACTATGGCGGCGGTTGACTGTTATCAAAATCAAATGGAGGAGAATCAGGGGCAAATGAACGATAATCAGGATAATATATTAAATCCTAATGATGAGCGTGATCAACAGGGTGCTACTGCTGGTATACCTGGTAAGGATGATGAACGAAAACTCTTTGTCGGTGGATTGTCGCGTAACACCACGGACAAGGAGTTGCGCGAGCATTTTGGAAAATTTGGTGAAATAGAGAGTATAACGGTGAAGGTGGATCAGTACACCGGTTTATCCAGGGGTTTTGCATTCATGGTGTTTAAAAATCCAAAGACCATCGACAAACTACTGGCTGCTGGAGAACATTACATCAACAAACGAAAGGTTATTTTCGAGTTTTTATTTGAAATAGTGTCGAGGATATTCGCGTATTTTAAAGTTGCTTTTTTTTCTTTCAAATGAATGCTTGGGAAAATAATGGTTTTGTGGGAAATGTAATTTGGATGTTGAATATCTACGACTTGAATTTTGCTCAAGCAATTTAATTAGCAAAGTTGATAACTTGAAACGATGGAAACGAAAAAAAAAATGCTTGGATATCCTCGAACGTATTGAGATAGATGTAGACTTATTTATTGATTTTTTCGGATTGTTTTCTTATGCTTCGACAGGTTGATCCAAAACGCGTGAGTAAAAAAGCACAGCACGGCAAGATCTTCGTTGGTGGATTGACTCCAGACATCACGGATGACGACATCAAAGCTTACTTCAGCGAATATGGTACAATCGTGGAGCTGCAGTCACCATTCGACAAGACTAAGAATCAGAGAAAAGGCTTCTGTTTCGTGACCTTCGACTCCAAGGAAGTTGTTTACAAGTTACTGAAGACACCAAAACAAACGATCAATGGTAAAGAGGTCGATGTTAAAAAAGTCAAGGTGAATGTTGAGACGCAACGCCAGGGATGGTGGGGCCCAGGTGGCTATAGCTATGGCTATCCAGCTGGTTATGGATACATCCCAGATTATGCCAATGGAGGTGGCTACCAGGGTGGCTACGACGAAAGCTATGGCAATTACGATAATTACGCTGGCTACGAGACTTTCGAGAATAACACTGGGTACCAGATGCAGGGAAAACCCAGGGGTCCACCCGCATCCCAAGGGCCGAGACAGTTCCAGAGACATCAGCCGTACTAAGATCTCCATCTAGCCATTATGTACAATGTTACATGGTGATAACATGCGAGAATGCGAACAAATTATTCGATTGATGATTAATGGTAAGAATGAAGTAGCATGACTTTCATTCGGTCGTAATTTTCATTTTTTTTTCTCATGTTCAATGGGTTTCCTTTTATTTTCAATTAATTTTTTTTTCACCAGATTTATTTTCCTCATTTATTTCCATTAATTAAAACGACGAATGTTTAGTGATTTAGTGTCTGCTTTTTTTATTCATTTAATTAATCATGCGTTTATTGCTCTTGCGTAATTGATTCTTCTTCTTTCTTGTGATTTACTGTAGAACAGTGTGCCGTGGGCAGGGCGTGTGTATTATAATAACCATCGAGAATATATTAACAAATTTTCTGACGTAACGTGAGAGATAGCTGAAGAAAGAACGAATATTTTTCTTATACTTTCAAGTGAGGATTTAACGTGAAGAGAAAATAAAAGTTGTTCAATACTGTTTTTGCATGTTCATGGAGCAGAATTATATAGTTTTTGAATACATGAAATTTGTAGATAATACAGTGGTAAATTCGGATGGGAAAACGGGAAAACTGTGTTTAACTGGTATCGAGCATATTAGAGTCCCGAATTTCTAAAATGTGCACGGAAAAGAGGAAAAATACTTTAAAACTCCCTCATTGTGATGGACCAAGGGCTAATAAAATTAGTCATCCTTTTTTATAACAACAAGAAAAATACAAAAAAAAAATATATATGTGAGGCAAATCCTGTTTATTGTTAACGTATACTGCGTATACGATCTTGCATTGTACTACAAAGAAACTAATAAATCACTAATTATAATATTTATCTGGATTGTAAATACGTTAACAATAAAGTGTAGCAAAACATTGTGTGGAGAGAGATCAGAAATAGTGAAGAGAAAGCGTTAATATACATACACTGCGTCGAATTATAAGAAAATAGAGAGAAAAATAATAATACGAATATTTTGTTATTATTCCTATTGCTACTCGCTTGTTTCACCCATGACACAGTGTATATTTTATATTATATGTTATGATATCAATAATAAAATTAATATTAATGGACTTCTTATTTTCTTCTTCCCTGCAAACGTCTGACGAATTGAAGGAGTTAATAAATTAATTAAAACAGTTAATAATTACACATCAAAGGTTTCCAAAATGCTTCTCCTTGATACCTGCGCTAGTGCGAGCTCAACAGGAACTACAATGAGAAAGGAAACAGCGGAACTGAACCATGAGTGAAAAAAAATAAAAAACAGTCCAGGTTGTATGTAGAAAAAAAAACCTAGGGTAGAGGAGAAAGGGTAACGACAGGGTAGTGTTGGGGAGAGCTGGGATCCACTCAGCTCAACCTTCAGTGTTTGTTTATTCATCTATCAGGTAAATACTCCACCAAATTTAATAAGCCCGTAATTTATCATTCACCAAGTTATCTTTCCTCCGACGACATCAACAATTGCTGCATCAAAACGTTCTCAAATATAGAACAATCTGAAGACTGATAATTCCAATTTTTTTCATCCCTCGTGATTGTTTTTTCAACATCTTAAATTACCGCAGGTGATCAAACGTCAATTTTATCCCCCCCTTTCCGGACTGAAGCAAGATAAATTGATAGGAATTATCTCCAGTGCTGTAGAAATTTTTTTATGGAGAATTTTGAATAATGCTACGTTATAAAATTAACATTTGTGTCAGCAATACATAAAGTTATGTGGAGTAGGATAAATGGTACATGGACGACGAGTCTTGATCTTGACGGATTGATTGTGAAGAGTAAGGTTAGTTATCTTGAGTGCAAAACGAAACAGCCGTGTTATAGTGGAGGAAGAATTGCTATCAACTTTGCAACGTCACTCGACGATGTTTCATCTGCGTTCTAATTAAATACTGTTTATATGCAACAAATACTCCACGTGAGGAGGATAAAGTGATTTGAACGTAGAAGACTATTTTTTATCGCTTGGTTAAAGTGGTGATGAAATTTGAGGGTCTCAATCGCTTGATTATTTTATTATTCGTGCACTTATGATCAGTTATTGGTCAGTGGGGTATGTAAGGTTAGTCCAGGGGCATTCAGATCAACTCAATCTCAATGTTTCTGGCATTTTCAGATTTTTCTTTTTTGGACTCCATCCAATCCTGTTGACATTACACTGAGGCATCCGTTTTTTTTTTATTTGACTGCTATTGTTGATACAATTTGACAGGATGAGTTGCATACGCTGTTGTCTCACTAACACTAGTCGTTTGGTGTCCTCCAGCCATGTCGCTAACCATGGTGAGTATTAATTCATCATTTTGGTGCAAATTGTGGCCTGAAAGGGGCAGTTCGGGATTTTCAAAAGGAAAATTTCGACATTGTAGTATTTTCTGTTTGTGACTGGTTGAATATTACAACGTCCATTTTCCCTCGTTTATTGGGGACACGAAGATCTTGCTGCTGTTTTTCAATTTTTAATTTTTCGGTTCAAGGAACTGAATGTTACATTTTGGCAATTGTCGAATTAATCTCGAAAACCATTGGTTTTAGATGGACATAGAGGGGCCTTTTTTCACGCTAATTTAATTTTTGAGAAAAGAAGATCATTTTATATTTTCTCCTGAAATTAATATTTTTATTGACCAGTTAATTTCGGCTCTCTAATAGTAAATACTATTTTGGGAACGAATAATTCTGGAAATATGTAATTTTCCTATTGAATATTTTCAGTCCACAAAATCGTGAGGGTCGTTGCAACGAGGTCACTGGCCACCACTGGCGTTCTGTCAAAAGTACCGACTGAACCAACACCTCCTACGAAAGATCTTGGTAGCTCATCCTCAGGTGCTCCAACAGGCGGCAATGGCACCGGTGGTGGCAAAAAGAACACCCTGACTTGCCCTAAGTGTGGTGATCCCTGCACTCATGTTGAAACGTTCGTATGTGAGTATAGAAAACACGAGCTGTTGACGAAATCCTATTGCATAATTGTTCACATTTTCTCGTAATTATTTCCATATTTAATTATTTTCAATTATAAGAAATCCAGTATATGACAGTGGATTGATAATCCTCGAAGAAATTTATTTTTAATGTGCGTAGATGACGGAATATTTCAATTTTTCTGACATTTCAGCGTCAACTAGATTTGTCAAGTGCGAAAAATGTCACCACTTTTTCGTAGTATTGTCGGAGATCGACTCGAAAAGAACTCTCAAGGAGGCCACGAGGACAGAAGACACCAAACAAGGATTCTACAGAAAACCCCCTCCACCCCCTAAAAAGGTGAAATTAAAATGCATTTATGTATGAAGTTATCTAGATATATGTCAACATTAATTTATTCTTCGGCAGATATACGAGTACCTGAATAAACATGTAGTGGGCCAGGAATTCGCTAAAAAAGTGTTAAGCGTAGCAGTATACAATCACTACAAACGTATCCACAACAACTTGCCACCTCAAAATTCAGTTCAGGCCACTGCCACTTCTGCAGGTCCACAGGACCTCAACCATCCGTTCACACACAGAGGTCTCAAGCCGCGTAAATAACTTAAAATAACCCTAACCAAAAATCAAACTTCCCCTTGCAACCCTTGGTTCACAACCTTTCACTAACTCTCTAAATTTTCCCAGATTTACTCAACGTATCTAGTATTGGGAATCCTCTAGGGGTTGGCTTCCAGCATGGCTCCAGTGCTGACCCCCAGGGAAAAACGAACAGTGGATCGTCGGTTCCAGGATCAGATATTCTGGACAGCAAGCAGCATCAACTGAAGCTCGAGAAGAGCAACATTTTGCTGCTGGGGCCGACTGGATCTGGGAAAACACTACTGGCCCAGACCATTGCCCAATGCCTGGACGTTCCTTTCGCTATCTGTGACTGCACGACCTTGACCCAAGCTGGATACGTCGGTGAGGACATCGAGAGTGTTATCGCAAAGCTCCTGCAAGATGCCAATTATATTGTAGAAAGAGCACAAATGGGAATTGTCTTTCTGGATGAGGTAGATAAAATCGGTGCTGTACCCGGGATTCATCAGCTGAGGGACGTGGGCGGCGAGGGGGTTCAACAGGGGATGTTGAAGATGCTGGAGGGGACCATTGTCAATGTTCCAGAGCGCAACAGTTCGCGAAAATTACGAGGGGATACCCTCCAGATTGATACGACGAACATCTTGTTCGTAGCATCTGGAGCGTACAATGGGCTCGACAGGCTCGTATCTCGTCGCAAGAACGAGAAGTATCTGGGATTTGGAGCTGCTCCAGCCTCTGAAAGCCCTGGGAGGCGTGCAGCAACCCTCGCTGATGTCGCCAACATGTCACCTTCAACTGAGAACGATAACAGAGAGAAAGACGTGCTCCTCAGGCAGGTCGAGGCTAGGGATCTCATCGACTTCGGAATGATTCCCGAGTTTGTTGGCAGATTTCCCATTCTCGTGCCCTTCCATACTCTTGATAAGAACATGCTCGTGAGGATCCTCACTGAGCCCAGCAATGCGATGGTACCCCAGTATCAAATGCTCTTTTCCATGGATAAGGTGAGTATTCAGAAAAAATAAGGGGTCCTACTTGAAGGATTCTTCATGTATAGTGCAAAAATATTTTTTTCATCTTAGAAAAAAACATTTTAGCTGTTATTTTGAAAACTTGTCCAATAATAATGAAATTTCTTGTAAGGTGGATCTCACATTTACAACTGAAGCCTTAGATGCAATAGCAGCATTAGCAATGGAACGAAAAACTGGTGCCAGAGGTCTCCGCGCAATAATGGAGTCTTTACTGTTGGAACCAATGTTCGATGTTCCTGGGAGTGATACAATGTCTGTCCATGTCACCGAGGCGTGTGTTTGTGGACAAGAGAAGCCGCAGTACGTACGACGGGGCGATGCAACTGAGGAAGAGCCCCAACAGGCGCAGCACGTAAATAATTAACACATGGGGTACAGGAATGAAAATTTCGCGATTAAATAATGAAAGAAAATTCTCAGGTGCAACTGGGCGAACATTTCAAAATTACTGTTCCCTTTATTCCCTGAGAACATTGTATCTAATGCTTTCGAGTTATCTTCAATTCCTTTAATGATACTAATGCACATTACTTGGTGATTGAGAATAAATTCAATTAACAAGTAGATTCTTCTGTCATGCCCGTTCATTTTAGTTCGACAGCAGAATATTGAGGAAATAACTTTTTTCCTTTGAGTATAAATTATTCGCATGTGACTTTGTATAGATAAATGAAGATTCTTTGTAATATATTGTACATATAGATTTATAGAAATTCAAAGAAAGTGAAAAATAGATAATGATTTGATCGTAAGAATTTATCTTGTATCGAACTTTCACGGTCTCATTGTTTCATATGAAATTACTTGGGTTTTTTTTTCCTTTATTTTCATGGATTCATTTAGGGAATTCTCTGACACATTCGGAACATTCCCCAAAAATCTATATAATTATGAATAAAAAAAATATGTGTGGAAATTTTAGAGATTTTGCGAGTTTTTAAACGAGATGAAGATTATTTTTCGTGAAAAATTCAAATAGTGAGGCTTCTTTCCGGAATGCAGATAATTAATAGTTTCGTTCGAGACGGTTAATGTGATATTAGACGTGAAAAGTGAACGTTTATATATTCTTCAATATTTTATCATTCAAGTTCAGATATTGTCGAGGTGTAAAGCCCCTTTCATCGATCTTGAAGAAAAATAAATGCCATGTTGCTCTGAACGATCATCGATAAGTTTACTGGTAAACTACTATAGATAATTTATATTGTAATGAGGATATATTTATAATAAATCAACACGAAAAGCTAATTTTACAAATCAGGTTTCTGAAAACCCTATCATTAGCTTTTTACATTCATCAATTTTTATCAACTAAAGTTTATGGTTCTCTGTACACAGTCCTTCTCCATTTCAACTACTGGTAAAACTACAGCTGCGATGACTAGACAACGCCTACGAAAAAAATCACTGATCCTGGAGTCAGATGAAAAATATCAAAGAGAAATAGATCGAAAAATCAATGAAATTGTAAACGATATGTTCCAAATACAAATATATACATAAATTCTACGTTGAATATCTTACATGCATATCTTTTTACTTCTCCCTTTTACGCTATATAAATAAATTTTCAGAGAGAAGCAAAATTATTTAAAAAATTCATCATTATTAAATATCATTGTAGTAATTATGCGGAGGCGTTTTAACTGTTTTGTGTTTTGGTTTTAGTATAGTACCGATTTCTGTGAGAATATATTTCGTGGCTTTAAGTACTAAGAAGTGCATTCCAAACTGCATGACCAGTGCCCCGAAGCCTTTGTACAGCCCCAGAGTGCCCTCGTTATTTATTATCGTACGGTAGCAATCGAATGCACCACTGTAACTCGTTAACAACGGGGTGACACTTCTGCCTGTGTCCAGATTGTCGATGATTGTTCTGGTGCCCTGCAAGTGGAGCCGGTGGACAACTGTTTCGAGGGGATAGAATACAATGTCTGCAGCACACATGGAGATTAATGTCGACTGAAGCTCGATGTCCTGCATTACGTTTTCTGAGATGACATCTCTGTTGTACGCTCCTCTGCGTTTCTGCAAACGCCTGTCCCTCAATACCATAATTCTGGAGACTACACTCCTCACTATTAGCCCAAACAAGTACTTAGCCACTCCATAAGCCACGTGGGGGCCCAACAGAGCGTAAATAGGAATAATTCGTCCTTTGCTACCGACCTCCAGCAGGCGAATCGCCCCATCGCGAAACACATCGAGTACACCTGGTTTCTCAGAGGCTATTTCTGATTGTACGGTCTCCACCAGAGATGCCGAGTAAAATGGCGAGACAATTCCAATCGAAACACTGAAATATATTGCCAACAGTGATAATTATCCAATTTTTTCCATTTTTGCATTATTCCATCTTTTAATTGAGGAAAAAATGAGCAAGAGTTTGAGAGATAATTCAAATCTGCAGATGTCCTTTATAAAATTTAACAGAGAATTTTGTAAAAACTGAATAAAATTCTGTGCTGTTAGGGCAATAAACTGATTTTTTTAAGGCTATATTTACCATTTGAGGAGCAAGTGCTGTCCAAAGGATTTAAATGAAGTCTCATTGGTTATTTCCTTCGGCCAGGGTGTGACCTTGGACAATAGGTCCTCAACAGCAAGAGTGAGCCCCCTAACGAGTAACACCGACCCAATTCCCTTCCACAGGGTGTTCATCCCCTGGGTCTGATGGAGCCTCATCATGACGGGTATCAGAGTGATCGGAACTAAGTGATAGGTCGTTGCTACCGGATTAACTTGACATTGTCTTCTCAACACGATGAACGGGTGAATCAGCAAATTTTCTGTGATTAGACTGGCAAGACCGCAGCCAATGCCAATGGAGCTCTTGATGACGATGTCTGGGGTGAAAAATAGTGGACACATGTGTTTATGTATTCTTCAATATTCTTATCAATATTGGAATGATATTAGGATGCAAATTGGATAAAAATTACTGGGAAGGATTCAGCTGTGACGACTCCAATGACTGAAACCATGTCAATGATCTTACCATTGTCAGGTGGTGAGCCAGCTTCAGGGGTCATTGATGAGGCTGATGCAATCTCGAGGGGTCTTATCACCTCGTAATCGTAGTATTTATCATCTAAATAGTTTGCAGGGTGTCGTGGAGGGACGAGTTTGCCTCGATACACTTGATCATAACCTGATAAACCTGCCATTACTGCAAGTTCCAGCGGATTGGGTTGGTTTTAAGGTATCCACCACTATCTCAACATTTCCGTCGAGGTACTTATGATTTTTTGGGTAGCAATGAGTCAAAAAAACGTCAACATTTGGCCAACTCGGATTTATCAAAAGTAGAGGTAACACGAAACTCTAGTTTTGCGACTTCGGTTCAAGGTTCAATTCTTACGATTCGTCTGCCATCTTTCAGCTCTCATTCCACTGTTTGACCCTGTATCGTGTTTTGTGGAGCTTAGTGTGAGTCTCCACTGTAAATATATCACTCTTCAGGTAAAAAGATAACAACGTTTATTGTAGCAGCCAATTTTGAGTATAATCTCTCTGATAACTATAATTATAAGTTATAAGTCGGTATGTCGCCGGCTACAGCTGTAGCTATTCGAGGCAGTCTCGAGCGTTACGAGCCTACAAAGCAACAGTTTTTGCTTTCGCCGCGACTCCGTAAGGTTGGTGTTCGATGTGTTCGATCAAGAGGTAAGTTATAACTCACCTATAGGTGATGCGGCTCCGTCAGTACGGTTAGTATTCCTGCAAGTGGACAAAGTAGGCAGAGTAGCCATACAGTTTCAGTAATAATTCTGATATTGCTGTGATTTTTCAAGGTTTCATTTATTGCTAGTTCGTTTTGTTACAGTAGATTAAAATTTTTATTAAAAAAAAAACTGGAGCATTTATTCAGATTTTTATTAAACACTTCCCAAGTGTTTAAAAATTTTCAATAAAGTCTCTAATTTTCAAGAAAAATATGGAATTGTCCCAAAACCCTGATAAATACACCTCTAACTCTGGAATATTCATCTGAAGCAAAATCCCAGATCCCATTTCCGCCCTTATTGAATAATTCATTGTTCCTCACATCTCCCCCGGAAGTTCACGATAATCCTGATCAACCCACTCATCCCCTCCAAAATCCCTTTCAGGAAGAATTTTCAACAAAGGTGTCCCATCGTCATTTATACTGAAATAATCTCTCATCTCCTGGGAAACAAAATTACCCCCGGGTCTTGCGTTTTGCGGACCGATATCGAAATCCCAGGGATCGACCGGCGAGTTCTTCTGGAACCGGAAATTTTCGGGTAAGCAATGATGTTGAAGACAGAAGTAATCCCTTCCTTTTTCGCTGTGACACCACGTGCCATCGGGAAAATAGGGATCGATCTCCAAATCATTGAGTTCCACTCTCGGGGTGTAGTACGACGCGATGTCCCTGCGTTTGCAGAAGATGGCGCAGGCCATCCATGGCCTGTCCACCTCGTGGGGTGCCTGAAGTCCCCTAGCCCCTGGATCGAGCTCCTGAATGCGATCACTGAACTCCCTGCACTTGATAGTCGCGAAATCTTCGGCTGTCAGGCGTTTTGTACAGAGTTTCGAGTCCTGGCAGAGGTCCACGGCGAACGCCAGACCCTCGCACACACGCGAGTCCTCCCTGCAAGTTCTTTTCTTCGATCTCGCTCCCTTCGACTTGCTGATACATCCGCTTGTGCATTTTCCCTCAATCCATTTGCTCCAGATGTTTTCACCCATTGGCTTCGGTTTACGCGGCTTCTCCGAGGGAAAATACAGCGCCGGAACGCACTCTCCTCCTCTACACTCCATCCCCTCTGTACAGAAAGTCCCCTCGAGGGCTGGTCCTGAATAGTAGTAACCACTGCGGTGTGGACTCCTGCATTGCAGGGACTGACAGGCATTTGCCAATGTAACTACTGATGCGTCTTTATCCCGCAGTAGTAATTCGCACTGTCTTTTGGCCGTCCATTCGCGCCCAGGAAGTGTGTTGAAGCGTTCGTGCTCCAGGAATTTATCTGCCCTCAGAGACGACTTGTCCATGAGGCAGGGCTTCGTCTGCGGAAGCTCCTGCACCACCTGACGGCTACACGTCGACCAGATCGTCTCACCAGTGGATCCTCTACTTGGGGACATTATGTAACCGTCCCGAGGGCACGGGTTACCCGTTGAATCGTGATGCATTCCTAAACTGGAAGAATCATTTAATACACAGATCCTTTACAAAAATCCGATTTTTCAAAAATCTGCAATTTAATTACTCGAAATTTCAGGATTTGTAAAACTCTAAATGTAAAACTCTAAATAATTTTTCAGGTTTCGGGTTCTGAGAGTCATTGGATAACAGAATTTATTTTTTAGAAGACAGAAAAATCTCACTTGTGTCCAATTTCATGAGCAGCGATGTAGACCGATGTGAATCCCGCCGACGGATACGGCTTCCCCAAACGATTAGTCGCGCCCAATTCAGCGATCACACAAGAATACTGATGATAACATGTGCCCGATACGGTAGCAAGTCCCATAGTAACGCCATTTCTCTGTCCTTTTTCTTCGGCATAGAAATCCAGTCCGGACACGTAGAGGCCGATGTCCCAGTGATTGGGGTGCGCGTCATTTTCAGGATTGATAGCACTGGTGTAATTGCAGAACGAGTCTAGAAGTCTCTCACGCTGGCCATCGTGATGAGGAAGGGTGGAAGGTTGTTTTTTCATGAGGTCAAGGCGAACGAGAGCTATAGTCACCCTGGAGCCCAGACTCGGGTGGTAGAAGAGGGCCTGGATGGCGTTGACGTATGCCAGCAGCATATCTCTCATTTTTCCTTCGTCGCTGTTGAAGAATGGGGCGAAGAGCTTGTACCCTGGATCGTCAAAGAACACCGCTAGTTCGATCGTCAACTCCTGGGAGGAGCCTCGCTTGGACCTGGTGATAATTTTTTCTTATTTAAGGAGAAATTACTGAAATTTAAATATGGATAATTACTATGGAAAGAATGGGTTTTAAAATAATATCTATAAAGCAAAACTTTTTGGAGGAGCATCTCCACTACCTTGGTATCGAGTCCAGCGGCAGTACCGCAATGTTTCTATTAGATTCCAAGTATTCCGGGGGCGCAATGTGTGATCGCTTCACCAGGTGAGGGACTCTCTCCCTCGTTGACGTCCTGTTTCGATAATTATGGCCCATTTCTTCCAACGGAGAAATCTCCAGGGCTAAATTGTTGAGTAGTATCACACCCTCGATTACGTCCTTACAAAGACTGAGAGCTGCACTGCTCCTGTTGTCCTGGTGGAGGTAGTAGCAAGGAGGCGGATTACTCAACCCTGGAATTTCCTGAATCTTGTTCGACCCCTCGTGACGCCACACTTGGAAGTAAGGCGCTAGGAGTCTGTCGTTTCTTCTGAGTTTCAGCTCGAATTTTTGATTGAACGCCGTAAAATGGAGAGGAATCTAGAACACAGTATTTTTAAAGCGTCCACCAGTGGTGAAATTATTAAATGTGTACAAATTGATTATACCTCAGAAGTCCTGGAGTTTCTCCTCTCGATGAAAACTATATCGACATCCTCTCGATGACTCCCAGACCCGAAAGAAAGCCAACCGATTAGGATGAGCCCAGCGGCTCTCAGGAAAGCAGTCATTCCGGAAAAACGGGAACAAAATGCAGATGAGTCCTCGCTACCCTGGATTTATAATCCCACAATGGCAATGTTGTCCCCCGGATCGCCATAGAAACTACAAATCTCTCTAGAAAAATCATGCTGGTGCCCCCAGGGTCATTACCCACTGCATCAGCTCCTTTGGTGCACACGAGGCCACTTGACCTCGACGTATCACCACTTCAATTTTCCATATGCGATACATATTAGTATCACCGTCTGGTCACACGAGTCCCCGAATCGTGACACCCACGTTCCCTGACTATTTTAGGAGTGCGACGAACGGCCAATGAATAGAGATCACCACGAGGAAGGGGCAAATGGATTCAAAGAAGTGTACGACAAACTGGCGAAGTAAGGTAAGTCGAATTTAACATTTCTCACTATTAGCTCTTCAATTCAGTAGTCGCGATCAATTTTAGCAAGTCATCTTATCAATTATGTAAATTTTTACAACCGATTGAGTTGCCAACAAAAAAATATTTCTCGTCACTTCCTCAGAACGAATAATTTCTTAGATTGATCGATTCTTGATGAATTAAAATAGAAGAAGTAAATTAAGACACAGTTGGATAACTTAAAGTATCTCATTATATTATTAATGTGTACAAATAATTTTCAATGCCTTATCATCTCGAACAATTGATTACATATATCAATTTCAAAAACAACGCATCCATCGAACACTATCATACAACTAACGCGCGCAACGTTACAAACATTCCACGACACCGAAATCGCCAATAATAATGTCTCAGTGTTCTACATATTAAATACGCTAGATTTTTCTTCACACCTCACCGCTCTATCCCCAGGCTCAATAATTCTGAATCACGCGACATTCACCTTGTCCTGAGAGCTAAAACTTCATGTGAAATTCAAAGCAACCAAATCCCTCTGTATGCAGAGCAGTTGCCCAAAAAAAATGTGGGTGTGCCACCGTAATTTCACATAAGTACGTCTACTGTCTTGATGTAGAAAACTCATTTTCCCAATTTGCAGAAAATATGCACAAAACCACTTTCAAAACATGATATTTCTTTCGAGTGTTTTTTTTTGTTTCAACGAATAAATTGGAAGCAGCCACTGTTTTTTCTACATCGAAATAACAGACGTCTCCATGGAAATAAAACTTCACTGATCGACCGCCACAAGTAGCTCTTTCCCTCACAAATAAAAAACCGGTTGAGAGACCTTCGATGAAAGGGGGTTAACCATTGCTGAATGCCAGGAACGTTAATCAGTCGATTAGCATTGATTGGTCAAAAAATCCCACAGATCAGTAAATTCGTTGGTATAATAACGCTTTCCCCCAACGTTAAATGTACTACAACGTACACTCTCATTTAAATCACCGATTAGACCTACGTCCATGTGGTTCGATTAATCATTCACATAAATCATTTTAAATATCTCCAAATAAAAAATAAAAATAAAAAGTCCTCTCAAGTGATTAAATCCAATTGACTGAATTGCCTCAATTCCCTCAATTGGGCAGCGTATCATACAAAATGTCTTTAACACTCTGCGTCAAAGTATCCGGGAACTTGATGTCAAACGACACCAGCAGATCACCTTTGCGTGATGGCTCTTTAGGGAACGGCAGCCCCTGTCCCTGAATTCTCTTAACCATATTTGGTTTAACAACGTCCCTCGTGAGATTGAGTGTTATTTTCTCACCACATAACGTTGGCACTTCCACAATAGTGCCACAAAGTGCCTGCTTTAAGCTCAATTTACACGTATACCTGATGTCACTGCCTTCGCGCCTAAATAATGGATGTGGTTTGTCCCTGATGATGAATACAACGTCAGCTGGCACTTTACCACGTCCCTGGTCACCCTCCTTTTGGAAAGTTATCTTAGTTCCTGCTTTCCATCCCGGTTTGACATTAATGGTGAGCACTTTGTCTTCCTTCTTAGTGGTACCATCAGGCTGTACAACTCGTCTCGATATCTTCATCTTCTTAACACAACCCTTGCCAATGTCCTCGAGATTGACGTATAAATCGTGCTCGATGGGTGGATCCTGGCCCTGATCCTTTTGTCCAGGCATTCGTCCACCACCAGGAGCAAAATTGAATGAATGTGAACGGAATGCACCACTACCCCCTCCAGGCCTCTGTCCAGCCATCCTCAGCTCGAAGGGATCCTCCATGTCCATGTCATCACCAAAGGCAAATGCACGGCTGTTGCCACCAGGCCCAAACTCGAAGAAAGTGGCAAAAGGTGATGCTGATCCAAAGAATTGTGCGAATGTTGCTTTAGGATCACCGTGGAACGAGTAATTTCCACCACCACTTCCTCCACCACCTCCTGATGGTGCTCCACCTTTCAAGCCCTCCTCACCGAATTTATCGTAGACCTCTCGTTTTTTTGCATCAGACAGAACCTCGTATGCTTCAGCAACTTCCTTAAACTTCTCCTCAGCTCCTGCACTTTTATTCTTGTCTGGGTGATACTTCAGAGCTAATTTACGATACGCCTTCTTTATCTCATCGTCACTCGCACCCTTGGTTATACCCAGTGTTTTGTAGTAGTCTTTGCCCATCGTGGAACGTTCTAGAAACGATAAAGAAACCTCTGTTAGTTACAATGCGCATTCGGCGATTCAGAAGAGAAGTAGAGGGAGAGGGTGTGTGTGGGGGGGGGGGGGGGGGGGTCTCTTTCTCGAGATATTTTGATGGTTCGTATCGTTTATTTTGTTTTTTTCTCTTATTTTTAATATACTGATCATTCCATCGGTCTCTACCACCTACACAGCGCGTATGTATCGTCTATTTCTGGGAATGATCACCATTCTGAGGAGCGTGGACAGGTATGTGCTGCTGATGAACCCAGCTTTCTAAACTATTATCGAGGGGAAAATATTAAAAATAACATGAGAGCCGACTAGTCATCGTTCCAGAATTAAACAATATTGTTGTTTTATTTGAGGGATCACGCGAGAACATTGGAAATCTTCCCCTAACACGTCAATGTCTCCGACTACTTTTCGCGAATTATTTATTATTATAATTATTATTATCTCTCATATGTACCTTTTTTGATGAAATCTTTTTATCGATGAACACTAATATTTTGACACTCTTCTCACAAGCGATCGTTATCCCAACGTTGGGCTTTCTGAGGTAGGAAAAATAAAGAATATTTAATGGTAGATAAAATCAGGTTGAACGCTCGTTGTGAACTGAAAAGTGGACCAAGCGGCGCAGCCTCATATATAAAATTTTGCTTCTAGTACATTCCCGAACCTTCGAGAACGAGTGAGAAAGAAGTTACCATCGACTTCCGTGGTGTTCACGTCTGTCTTTTATCCGGATCGTGACGTCAATCTAGAGACCCTAGGACACGTGCATGCGCTGATAAATGAGCGAGATGGAGAATTAGTAAATGTTCAATTGGAGGAAGAAAAAGAGAAGTTTTTGCACTGAAAAATTTTCAATCACAAAGTTTTCGGAACGCATCCCCTGTCAACTGGCGCCCCCTCCAGCTGGCGCTCGGGCCGGCGGCAAAATTTAAATTACGTCGGCGTAGGTGGAAAACGTTGAAGAAATCAGTGAAAAATTGTGTAAAATTTGACTTAGATTTTATAATGACTTGGTGAAAATCACTCAGGCGGCAAGAGAGGAGGCGTGGATATTCCAGGGGAATGGAACAGGGAAAAAATTTTTATGTTGAAAATGTGCATTTAGGAACACTGGGAATACTCACCAATCGCTGATTCCATCGACACACCCTCAGAGCAAGAGTTCCTTTTTTTTATTTCGAATGCAACCGATACAGTCAACAATCGAACAATATTTATCGTATTGTAATATTACGATTTATTTTAATATTAATAAAGAATTGAGGTATTGTCAGGGAAGTGAATCAACGTCAAATTTTAGGTGTAATTTGTAACAAAGTGAAAGTTTAGTACACACAATGGTGAGTCATATTTAGATTTCTTATTTTCGAGGATTCATTTTTGTCAATCGCAGGATGATAAAAATTTTGTTAAGGGTCCAGAGCATAAAAATAGAGACCTATTGATGATTGATCTTTGGGAATAGATGAGTGTTATTTTATTGACGTTGAAAACATTGTAATTCGATACCTAACCCAAAAAGAAGGAAAACGTCAAGATGGTGCATCGAGTTTACAGTGTCTCCAGAATTAGTCTAACCATGACCCCAATTATTATTTTGCGAAAGAATCGATGATGCTGATGGAATATTGAGGGTGTCAATGTAAATGTTTATTTTTTTTATCCGCCAGAGTGAACAACAGATGGACTGTGCACTCGATTTAATGAGGCGTTTGCCACCTCAGCAGATTGAGAAAAATCTGAGTGACCTCATTGATCTTGTACCATCGCTGTGCGAGGATCTTTTGTCTTCAGTCGATCAGCCACTCAAAATAGCCAAGGACAAGGAGTCTGGGAAGGATTACTTACTCTGCGATTATAACAGGGACGGTGATTCATACAGGTATGTTAACTGCAGTAATATAACAGAGTTTGACGATGGGGCAAAATGGACACGTCTAACTTTTCTTTTAAACGTCTGAGACTGGGTTAAATCGTTCAGTTCATTCTTTAGCTACTTCTCTATATTAAATAATTCATTAAATAAGGGGTATTAAAAATAAAAATATATCGTGGCGAATTTATTTGCACGATGAAGATCTCCATGGAGCAACACGTACGACCCTCCCCTGGAGGACGGGTCAATGCCCTCCGAAAGACTGAGAAAAATCGAGATAGACGCAAATCACGCATTTGACCAGTACAGGGAACTCTATTTCGAGGGTGGAGTTTCATCGGTGTACCTCTGGGATTTGGATCATGGATTTGCTGGAGTTATATTAATAAAAAAAGCTGGCGATGGCTCTCAGAAGATCAAAGGCTGTTGGGACTCTATACACGTTGTTGAGATACAGGAGAAGACAACTGGTAGAAACGCTCATTATAAGTTAACGTCAACTGCGATGCTGTGGCTCCAGACGAATAAACATGGATCGGGGACTATGAATCTTGGTGGCAGTCTTACACGACAGGTAAATATGTTATAAATATGTTTTTATCTAATTGAGCATGCTGCCATCAAAAAGTATATTCCTAGATCTGATTGTTAAATTGAATCGATATATTTCAGGTCGAACAAGACTGGCCAATATCTGACACATCCCCACACATTGCAAATATCGGTCGTATGGTGGAGGACATGGAAAATAAAATTCGTAACACGCTGAATGAAATATATTTTGGCAAAACGAAAGACATTGTCAATGGCCTGAGGTCTGTGCAATCACTTGCAGATCAGAGACAGCAGGCTGCACTGAGACAAGACCTTGCTGCTGCATTACAGAGGCGAAATGCTAACAATTGATCTCACGATAATCACGAGAGCTTTCAATACCATTGTGATTAGAAAATGATGAAAAGAAAAAAAAATGCAGAAATTAATGTGAAGTGACGAGAGAGCGTAAAACATTGAAGATAACTGGCATAACAAAACAATACAGACATTAAATACAGGTGGAAATATCACAAGTTGCATTGGATTAACACAGACACAGACTTGAAAACATCGGGTGGACTCGATTACAATTGGTACCCATTCAGTTGCGACAATTTGTTATTATTCTCTAGATTTAAAATAATGCAGGGAATTTATTATGGGGTTACTTGAAGAGGACACTTACGTTAATTGTTTGTTTTCAAAGTATTTGAAGGATCGATTAAACGAGACAAGTACGAAAATCATAACTGCATAATTGGTATTTGAGTATGAATAGGTGTTGAAGGGCAGCCAACGATGGAGATGTATTTGTATAAATAAATTTCGTCTTGTTATAAAGTCCAACGTTTGAGTACAAGTTTTCATTATTTTTTTCTGTTTACTGCAGAATTCTTTGGATTCTCATTGCTGAATAATAACAAAATATTGAAATTATTTGTGTCATTAATAGGGGGAAGACTTCCAGCAAAAAATATCCTCTTAAGGAGCTCCTTAAAAGGTGCCTTGGGGTTTTCTACGTCGTTTCTCGCTGTTAATTAATTATTAGAATTTTCAGTATTTCTCTGTTCAACAAGAAAACATATACCACTGTGATTTGGCATTATCTATTCAAAATCATAGGCTCCGGAGACTGATATTTTGCATTATTGAGTATCATTTCTCCCCTCATGGAACAATTTCAATATTATACATAATATCCAATTGAGAAGAAAACTATCACTTGTTAAAAGTTTTTATCATACAATAATTAAGAGTCAAATGTGTTTTCACTTACCATGTAAAAACATAATGTAGATAAAAATTTATAAAGTAATCTAATGTCAATCGAAATTCATCTGTTGTTATCTTTTATTCATTCGTTTCAATTGTACCTGAAATTCATTCGCCAGAATGCAGATGTGAAACTATTGTTCTGTAATCCAAGACAAGTCATTAAAAATGTGGGATTTTATCGAATTGAATGCATGAAGATTAGTATTCTTAGAAAGCGTTTTATTTCATTTTTTTTCTGTTATATTTTCAAAATTTTCGTAGTACCTTTCTGTGACAGTTCTAATTATACCCACGCATACATATATATCTTGTATTTTATTCCATTTTTTTGTATTTTTTTTTCATATTTCTCTATATAATTTTTTCAATATTTCAGGCTGCGTGAATTTGAATTCTGAATATGACTGGTAAATGAAAAATTGATCAAGGATAAAGAAAATAATGAGATAATTCTAATGATCTTGTAATGCATACTGCAGGTATTCATTGAGTTTTATTTTATTGTTCATATGAATTCTCATTTTTTACTTGGTCCTCTTCCCAAGTTCATCTACACTTGCATTTGCAATCACTGAAGAATAAAAAAAGAAAATAACTTGAGGTATTGAAAAAGAGTTCTGTATTAAAAGTATTTCGAAATATTTGCACTGCCAAATCTTGGAAAGAGAACTGTGCCAGCCTTTAATACCCAGTCTTATGTCCCCATCTACCCAATTGGGTTCAGGTATCTCTATATTGTTTTATTCAGAATCCTTTCCGTAGTTTCACTTCATTCAAGAGAGAAGGCAAAGTGACACGTGTTAAATGTTTATTCATGTTCACTGTATTTTCAGTGAATCAAGTGGATGTTAAATAATTAGTAGAGAGATCTTTCTCACTGGAATTCCCGACAGTTTGGTTACATTTACGCTTGAGAAAGATGCGATCACTCAAATTAAAAATTCATCAACTGTGATTATAGGCCAAGAGAAATATCAAAACAAAAATAAAAACTAATAAAGGGCACAAAAAAAATTCGTGTAGAATACAACATTCCCAATTAAACATAAAATCCAAAGTTATAACTATCAATTCTCCAGATTATATTCATTTCTCTCTATCATCTTAGTCAACGGCAAGATGGAATTCACGTATACGATTCAGCAGAATTTCATGTTCCATGAAAAATTGCCCTTCTCCCCTCATTGCGTATTCTATAAGTCACTGTACAGCCATTGTAGCTGCAATGACTGTCGTATAAAGAAAAAAAAAAACAAAATAAATGACGAATAAAATGCAAAAAAAATTGAGAATTATTTTTTGAAGGCTTGTCCAAGTTTTATTTTCAATCAACCCTTTTCTTGATGAAAAAATTGTTTCTGTCGCCCTATTCTCTTATATAACAAACAACATGTGTGTATATGTGTATGTGTTTCTGCGTCTCGCACTCTCCTAGTTCAGACTGTCCATCGTAAACGTCGATCCAGCCAACTTATTACTTCCACTGCTTAGAAACTTCCTTAAGCACATGTTCATTCAGATATTAATTATTACCCAATTAGCGTATATTGTTGTTGTTTTTTTTGGTAAATGATTCAGGTGTTTATACTTGAATTAAAAGTTGTTTTATTATTCCTCTTTTAACCACTGCTGAGATTTGATGTTGGTTGGAACTATTGGCTCGTTATTCAAATTTCATTTATTTATTTCTTCTTGTTCTTATTAATTCTTTTTCTTGTTTACCAATGATTGAGGTGTCGATTGGCTAAGCGGGTGAGGTTGTGTACGGTTTTAACTGAACACAATTATTTGTCGAGGGCAGTGTTGGTTTTGATGGCAATCACCACTTCTTCACCACAGGCTTTCAGAACGGTGCACTGAAAATTCAAGAGAACTTATTAATCGTTGTCCTGAGGTTTTCTGTAAAGAATGTAATAAAGTGTAAATAAATCATTATAAATTTTAAATTTCCTTAATAGGGAAGGGAAAAATCGCTTTCTTCGATTTCTCAAGCACTATGAACTGAGAAATTATTCAGAAATCACTACAGCGGACTAAAAGAGTATGCAGAAAAGTTAAATGGGGCAGTTTGACTTTTATTTATTTTCTGCGGTGGGGCATTTTGATACGGTAATTAAAAGGAAGGTGAGATATTTACGAGTATGTCTTTTCCAGCCTCGTAGTCAGCACGAAGCTGAGCACCTAATTCGCCATCAGGGACCTTCAGATCCTCACGGAGTTCACCATTGTCAGCCATCAAGCACAAGTAACCATCGTCAGATATGTCTGTCAGCTGAAGAAGAAAAAATTAATACGTAGGAATTTAATCCCTGGGATAATCAACATAAGAATCAATCTCACCTGATAGTCTTCTCGCTTAACAAATGGTACATCCATGTTGTGTGTGGAGGGACAGATATCTTCGTACTTCTTCGATGTAAAGATATCAATACCAACGAGATGTACCTTGGCATGGCCGTGTTTCCCAGTTTTTGATGTGGACATTTCCACAATTTTGCAGGGCCGTGACTTCAGCATGACGAAACCATTTTTGCGCAGCGCTGAGCATTGCATGGGATAGGTCACCGATGCACCGGAGTCACCGGTCTCGAAGTGAGTATCCTCAATATCTGCCATCGTTGGGTTTTACGGATTTTCTGCGAACCACCAAAATCCTTCATAAATCACAATAATTTATTACAGACATTTTTAAAAAGACCAAGTATTGAGCCCAAGGCACTGCAATAATCAGATAAACCCCCGCCCATCGTCTCTCTCCTGAAATTCCTTCGAAACCCTCCTATCCCTATCCCCAAAGTGACTCATCTCCAAAATAAATTCAATGCCAAACGTCAATACCCCCAGAAGCAAAATGAGAAAATGGAAGTGTCTCGTGGCAATCCGAAGACCCCATCGCCAAAATAAATGACTCCGAAAAGCGGACAATAGCCCGACCAACACAATCAAAAAAAGCACAAAAGTGTACGACAAAAAAATTAAAAACCAGCATTCCAGGGAGTGCTAAACGTTGAAGACTGAGCGATTATGACGATGGCCCAGAGGTACCGAAGCCATGTGGCCTCCTCCCATCGTAATTCTGAATAACCCAGGTCGAGCTCCTGAATTCTTCCGTAGAATTTCTCTTCAACGGACCTGAAACCAGTCGAAAGGCTGAGGCCGAGCCAATGGTCGTGGCAAGCCTTAAAGGGATAATGAAAAATAAGAAGAGATAAAAAAAAGGCGACAATGCGGGGCTCGTCACAGGAGACAGCCGAACTAACCAACAACGTGAACAGCCCGGAGTGCTCCACCCCCCTGGAGCAAAAAGTTATCAATAATTCGTGAAAAATGGCAACAGCACGATAACCGATACCTTCTCCACAAGTTAGATAATTTATTTAAACAATGAAAGACCGGATTTGGAGAAAAAATTATGGAAAGATGGCGCGAAACGAGGCGCCAGCCACATTGCCATCAGGTACCGTTTGTCATCGTCACAGTCGCTCGTCAATTATGCTTCCAATACCCCAAAAAATCAATCACTTTTCAGCTGATTATTATGACGTTACGTGTGCACTGTTGATATTAGAAATGCATCCGGGATTAATAGTATATTATCACAGTATAATATTCGCGTAATTCAGCAACAGCTCGAGATACTCACATGTGATCAAAATGGATACTCTAACCAGAAGAGCTGATGGCGCTTGCGCAGTGCTGTGTACGAAAGAGGGGTCTTCTACACTGGAATCACGGATTTTCTTGAATCGTGTTCCAACCTTTTTACCTTTGCTGCTTGCACTGCTGTCTCTGTCACTCCCATTTGGAATTTCACTTCCGTACCAGAGCAGTTTTGAATTTGGCAGCTGATGGAATCCCTTCACTGCAAGTGCTAGAGGTGTATTTGGATTCTCCAGCTCCTTCAATAAAAGAGGAAGGAACAAATTCGTTGAGATGTCCGCAGGTTAGGAATGCGGTTGTGATTATTTCAGATTGGACTTGACATCAATTTGTTGATGTTACTGGCTTTCACTTGTTACCCTTTCCTATTTCGCCGCTGAATTTCTATCACAATAGAATGAATATTAAGTGAAAATTGATCATTTCTGTCGCAGGTAATTCCGTAGAAATGTCCTCATCATCAGAGGAAACTGACGTTGAATTCCTGGAGTCTAACTTCATGTTTCACGAATTCTGTGACAATGTTGGCGAGTTCAGGTACACGTGCCAAATTATGAAGATGGAGGAGAGCTTCTATATTTATGTTGGGGCAACCGGAAAGGAGACGATGGACCAGCTAACGTACGCCTTTCTGTCGTCTTACGACCATCAACCCTTGGTTACGAGAGTTCTTGGAGACATTGAAAATACACTGTCCTCAGCTCTGGCTCACAAATTCACGCAATTGTGTGGGCAGCCCGTTTATGTTAGCGTTAATACACCACTATACCGACCTGTTATGGGCAACATTGAGAGACGTGTAACTGAGGAGTTCAAGAAATACGCGATGGAATCTTGAATAATCGTCGTACTCTAGCTGTACAGAGTTCTGTTACTATAATTATGAGAATAAATGTATTGTTCGAATTCCGCTTGTCTTCCGTCATTTAGTTTCTCGAGCAATGAAAATAGATAATTATCTGAAAACAATGGAGAACATTAATATATTCTACTAATTTTTATGCTTATTTTTTTTATGTTTGTCCTTATGTTTTTAAATTTTTCATTGTGAGTTCATTTACAGGCGGAATCCAGTGATTCCGTCGTGAGTGTTTGAATTTGCCGCCTGGACGCCATCTAACGTCTATTTGCCCGGTCCCACGTGAGACCGACCCGAACGTGTTCTTGCGCGCAAGAAAAGTAAAAACACGTTCAGTCGTAATCACACGTGGTTTGTCATTCGGCGACAATACTATTCGGATGGTCCCATAAAATCAAAGAAAAATAAATAGCCGATTGTTATTTCGCAGTTGACCGGCATCAGATGTTGATACCGCGATAAACTCTCATTTCAAACTCAATTAAAATTAATAAATGAATTGCACAACGCGTTCCATCAACTTTCAAACATGTTACGAGACGATATACAGAAATATCTCGACCAAATCCCAGATGTTAAGGACCAAGAACAATTAAAGAAATTCATCGATCAAAAGGTAACGATTTTGGGGCTATAATGTGTAAGTAATTTTTTCTCAATACTATGAGGTTATTTAGATGAACACTCAATTGCTGAGAAAACTTCCGAGATATTCTTTGAAAATTTATTTATATTATATATCGCTTTGTTATTCTTTGCTTCATCGGTGATAATGTTATTCTTCCTTCACCCATGTCTCCAGAAGGTCACCAAAAATGATCGTCAAGAGGTGCTTCATATTTTATGTGTCCACCTCGCCACGAATTCCCGCTCGATGGAAGTCATCCCTGAGTGTTTACCCCACTTCTTCCCCATCATTCTGGCAATGGCAGTTCCCTCGGAGTCCTCAGGATCATCTTTGAAAACAGGAACCAGCCTGTCCCATGAGAGAAAATGTGTCCTCCTAAGTAAATTGTTAAAGGCTCATCCAGACGTTCTAGGACACACCCTGCATTACTTCGACACCCATCCAGCGCCTTTCGAGGGCCTCTCCGAGAATCCAGAGACTTCTGTCAAGCGGTCAAGACTCGATACCTCAACCTGCATCCGAGAAACATTTGCTGAACCATCCGATCGAGAAGTATTAGAAGCAACCTACCGAATTTTTCAAGCATTTCCCACTCACTTCAAACGTAAATGGAAATGGTCAAAGATCTATCACTACTTGGACCACAAGAACATTGACGTTCGTTATATCGTCGTTAAGTGCCTGGGGCTAGTCTTGGAAATGTCAGAGGAGACGACGAATTCCTGGCTGGAAAAATTGAATCTAAATAACTCGAGTGGCACATCTAAGTCCGCATTGAGACCTGGAGTACCTGCACCGAGATTATCCCTCGAGGACTACGATGTGTCAGAGGTGGGGGAGTGCCTGATGGACTCTAGTTCCCTGGTGTCGATGGCAGGAGTCTTGTTACCTATTCTGAAGAGGGAGAAGTCCTCCGAGGCCCTCAGCCTCGTTCCAGTTCCATCGATGGAGTTGAACCTCCGTAGTTTATCTCTGGGTGTGGCTTCGAGGAAAGCGGTGTGCCTCCAGGGTCCTGTGGGATGTGGAAAAACCGCCCTCGTTGAGTATCTCGCAAGAAAAACTGGGAGGGGACCGTCAGACATCATCAAAGTCCAGCTGGGGGACCAGACAGACTCGAAGATGCTCCTGGGGACGTACAGGTGCACTGATATCCCTGGGGAATTTGTCTGGCAGGCTGGTATACTTACCCAGGCTGTAATGTCAGGCAAGTGGCTGCTGTTGGAAGACATCGACAGTGCAACACTGGACGTTGCCAGTGTTCTCAGCAGCCTCATGGAAACTGCTGCCCTTTCAGTACCTGGATATCGTGACACAGTTTATGCAAAAAGTGGATTTCAACTGTTTCTCACTCAGAGACTGATTCCTACGATGACTGGCACCTCTAGGCACTCCTCAGGGGCTTCTGGACTGCTCGAGAAACACTGGCTCTGTGTTCATGTGGAACCCCTCTCCAAGGAGGAACTCATCACAGTTGTTCAGACCCTCTTCCCACAGCTCTCGACAGTTGCCACGAAAATCGTCAACGTATTTCTCCTGTGTTCCAGTGGAAATCACGAGGCTGAAAATGATAATCCCTTGAGAACCACTGGGAGACTGATATCTACAAGAGATCTTATCAAATGGTGCACCAGAGCTATCGTTGATTTTGATGTTTCCTCTCCAGATTCAGCTCTCAAAGTCCTCCAGGATGCCATCGATGTTTTCTGCTGCTCAGTGCCGGACTCAGCCCTGAGACTTGAACTAGCAATCAATATCTGTAATACTCTAGGGATTGTGAGCACTAGGGCAGAGTATTTCAGTAATTCTCACAAGCCCTCTGTCACCCTGACAGCTGAAACTTTCGTTGCTGGTCGAGCTAAGATTTATCGTAAGAAGGCACAAGCAGTACAGCTAGATCAGAACAGAGTGAATTTCTCGTTCACAAGACTTTCAGCCTCACTCTTGGAACGTGTAACAAGTTGTGTGGCACATAAGGAACCTGTATTGCTCGTTGGTGAGACTGGAACTGGTAAAACTTGCTCAGTGCAATTTCTTGCTCGCAGTACAGGCCACAAACTTATCGTCATCAATATGAACCAACAGAGCGAGAGTGCTGATCTCCTTGGAGGGTATAAACCAGTTGATATCAGTCTTCTGATAACACCGATTAGAGAAGAGTTTGAAATTCTCTTCAGGTCTTTCTTTGCCATGGAGCCGAATAAAAAATTTCTGAGTCATGTGGCCGGATCTTACAGAGATGGAAAGTGGAAGACACTGGTGACATTGATGGCTCACAGTGCAGCAGCAGCTGTTGCTAGGTTAAAGAGTGGAAGCTCAAGGAAATGTTCATCACCTGGGAAACGAGCTCGAGAGGCCTCCAGAGAGAGATCAACTCTTGAACAAGACGCAGAATTACTAGTCAGGTGGAGGAGGCTGGCGGTCAAACTGGAGAAATTAAAGACTCAGGTGAAGACTGAGTTCTCTCTGGCTTTTGCATTTATCGAAGGGAGTTTGGTGAGGGCCCTACAGGAAGGCCACTGGGTTCTCCTCGATGAGATCAATCTGGCATCATCAGAGACTCTTGAGTGTCTCTCAGGACTCCTCGAGGGTTCTTCAGGATCCATCTCCTTGTTAGAAAGAGGTGACAATGAGTCTGTCAGAAGACACCCAGATTTCACGATGTTCGCATGCATGAATCCAGCGACAGACGTCGGTAAAAAGGAGCTACCTGTGGGGCTGAGAAACAGATTCACTGAGTTTTATGTCGACGAATTGACTGAAAAAACAGACCTCCAGTTACTCGTGAGCTCTTATCTTTATGACTTGAATTTACCATCGTCCAAGGTCGAATCAATCGTCAAGTTTTATCTTAATGTTCGAGACAAGGCTATGCAGTCATTGAATGATGGAACTGGACACAAACCGAACTTCAGTTTGAGGACATTGTGTCGTGCACTGACTGTAGCCGCTCACAATCCTTGTGGAAATGTTCTGAGGTCTCTGTATGAGGCGTTCAACCTGAGCTTTCTCACTCAGTTGGACCCGAATTCGTATCCAGTGGTGCAGGGGCTCATTGCCCAGATGATTCTCGATAAGGGCACCATGAAGAGTATTCTAGCAACTCCAATACCAAAACCAAAGGGTGATTCTGAGGAGTACATAAACTTCGAGGGCTACTGGGTGGTGAGAGGGAGCCTGGAGCCAGAGAGGCCTGGTAATTATATTTTAACAAGCTCAGTTCGGCGGAATCTCAAGGATCTGGTGAGAATTGTATCGATTGGAAAAATGCCGGTGCTTCTCCAGGGCGACACGTCAGTTGGTAAAACCAGCCTTATCACGTACCTCGCTAAATCATCGGGTCATGTATGCGTTAGAATAAATAATCACGAACATACGGACCTCCAGGAGTATGTGGGCAGTTATGTAGCCAGTGATAGTGGAAAACTGGTGTTTAAGGAGGGGGTATTGGTTGAGGCAATGAGGAAGGGCTATTGGATTATTCTAGACGAGTTGAATTTGGCACCCAGTGATGTTCTGGAGGCACTCAACAGAGTTTTGGACGACAACAGGGAGCTCTTCATCCCAGAGACACAGCAAACCGTCAAGGCACACAGCAACTTCATGCTGTTTGCCACCCAAAATCCACCAGGTGTTTACGGAGGGAGGAAACTCCTGTCCAGGGCGTTCAGAAACAGATTTGTCGAGTTACACTTTGATGAGATTCCTCCAGCTGAACTTCAAGTGATTCTACATGAGCGTTGCCACATGCCCGAGTCCTACTGCAAGCAGATCATCAATGTAATGACTGATCTACAGATGAGGAGGAAGAGCACATCTGCTTTCTCTGGTAAACATGGATTTATCACTCTTAGGGATTTATTCAGATGGGGAGAGAGGTACCGACTTGCTGGCGACGTTGGTGAAGGATTTTACGATTGGAGTCAGCATTTGGCTGACGAGGGGTATCTGGTGCTGGCCGCCAAAGTTAGGAAGCCTGAGGAGGCTGAGGAGATCAGGCAGGTGATCAAGAAGCATATGAACAGAGACGTTGAACCAATGAATCTTTTTACACTGAGCAATAATACCTCCACTGTCACCAAAGCAATCCTCGAATCTCTGGAGAAGGAACAAATTGACGATTTTTCTCATGTTATATGGACGTACCATATGAGGAGAATGGCTGTTCTGGTAACTAAATCCTGTCAGTTCAAGGAGCCAGTCCTCCTCGTTGGTGAGACTGGTGGTGGAAAGACAACGGTATGTCAGTTGGTTGCTGCAATGTTGAGTAAACACCTGTGGAGTGTCAATTGTCATATGCACACAGAGTCATCAGACTTCTTGGGGAATTTACGACCAGTCAGAAATCACACTGATAACAATGATAAACTGTTCGAGTGGGTTGATGGACCGCTAGTGATAGCCATGAGGGCTGGGGATATATTTCTCGCTGATGAGATATCTTTGGCTGATGACAGTGTCCTCGAGAGGCTAAACTCGTTACTGGAGCCTGAACGCAGTCTTCTGATTGCTGAGAAGGGGACTGACTCCAGTATTGAGTCAGACAAGCTGAAGAGCCTCATTACTGCTCACGCGAACTTCTGTTTCATTGGAACCATGAACCCAGGGGGAGACTATGGGAAAAAGGAGTTGTCTCCAGCTCTGAGGAACAGATTTACTGAGATCTGGTGCGAAGGCTGTACGAATAATGACGATCTTCTTGCTATTATCAAGCATAATTTAAGGCGACGTACGAACGTTGATGATCTGACGGTGGCACGGGCCATGATCGAGTTCTTGGAGTGGCTCAAGTCTTCTGATGTGGGCAGACGATTCTCTGTAAGCATCAGGGACGCCTTGACCTGGGTTTATTTTATGAATGCGGCATTGTCGTTGGCGACGAGTGAGGCGTATTATCATGGGGCTTGTTTGACGTATATTGACAGCCTGGGCTCGGGGGTCACCGGAAGTGAGAGCCAGGAAAAACTCGAGACCTTCAGGAAAAATGCGGTCATCTTTTTAAACCATCAGATACAACTGAACTTTCAGACAGATGAATTATCGATAGGTGGAGAAAGTAGAAAAGAATCTGAAAGATTTTTTGGTGTTAATCCTTTTTACATAGCAGTGGGACCCAGTGGAAAATCAGAGGACGTTGGCTTCACATTTACACCTCCAACGACTAAGGCAAATGCACTGAAGGTGTTGCGTGCTCTGCAATTGAAGAAACCTGTACTATTGGAGGGAAGTCCTGGAGTTGGAAAGACGAGTTTGGTGTCAGCTATTGCCAAGGCTTCAGGGCACTCTTTGGTGAGGATCAATCTGAGTGATCAGACTGATATTTCTGATCTTTTTGGGGCTGATTTACCTCTGGAGGGTGGCAAGGGGGGACAATTTGCCTGGAAAGATGGACCATTTTTAAGGGCTTTGAGGGCTGGCCACTGGATACTCCTTGATGAGTTGAACCTCGCGTCACAGTCCGTTCTGGAGGGACTCAATGCCTGTCTCGATCACCGGGGTGAGGTCTACATTCCAGAGCTGGGGAAAACTTTCACTGTTGGGTGTGGAACGAAGATATTTGGGTGCCAAAATCCCTTGAGACAGGGGGGAGGTAGACGTGGACTCCCTAAGTCTTTTTTAAATCGGTTCATTCAAGTATTCGTTGATCCTCTCTCTGATGATGATTTGAGGATTATAGCCCGGTGCCAGTTCCCGAGACTGGAGGAGGAGTTCATTGAGAAAATTGTTGAGTTTAATTCGATGGTCTCTTCAGAGGCTGGACGAGACTGGGGGCACAATGGGGCCCCTTGGGAAATGAATCTCAGGGATATCACGAGATTGTGTGAACTCATTGAGACCTACAGACAGAGGTCCTCGTTGGATGAGAGTCTTTTGGAGGCTGTGGTGCTCATTTATTCTCAACGATTCAGGGGACTGTTTGACAGGGAAAATGTGGGTAGAATTTTTCAAAGGATTTTTGGAGGGGAGGTGTCCAGCTTCTGGAATCAGAGGCAGCCATTAATGAATGTCACCGATGAACACGTGTTCTTTGATAATGTCGCGGTGCAGAGGACTCATAAAGCGCAATTTGAGGGAAACAATCTTCTGGTGTTAAGGGAGCAGATGATGATTTTGAAGGCACTGGCTTACTGTGTCAATATGCAGTGGATGCCCATTCTTGTGAGTATTGTCAGCTGATTTTTTCCTGAAAAAATTGATGTGTCATTCGCGTGGTGAGTCTTGGAGGAATAATCATTTTGATTTAATTGTGCATAAGGTGGGACCATCGGGATCTGGAAAGAGCAGTGTAGTTCGAGTACTGGCGCAGATCAGTGGGCAACGACTTCGTTCCATCGTTGTCAATTCAGCGATGGACACGACAGAGATTCTCGGCGGCTTCGAACAAGTAAGTGACAAAAATAAAAATAATATTGCGAAGTATTGCGAGGCATTGTCGCCAATCCAGAATAAACCAGCGAAGCGTCACACAGTTCTCAATGATGAAAAACAGAATGAAGACCAGAAGATCGGAAATTAGAAAGTAGTATCTGTTCTCTGTGATGTGTTGTCACACAAGCTTCTCTATTGAGCTGTCGAATTATTGGGATAATTGATGTTCATCAAGGATCTGCTAAACTTACATTGAACGTTTTATTGAATTCATTCACACATGGATTAACACTATTTACGACGATTATCAATCACTTGACAAGTTCAAAATCGACTCTCATTAGGCACATTTCTCAGTAATTGCAGAGAAACGCAATTTTGTGAATTAAATTAATCAGTTGACTAACAAATTTGATCAATTATTACTAAAATAACCACAAAATTTACGACAATCCTCTTCTTTATTCGACGTATATTTCAGACTATTTTTCGATCTATTCAAAAGACCGAAATTGCAAAATTAATTGAAAATATCTAAATAGTTTTAATATAAAGTGGACCCAAGACGTCTCGGTATAATATACTTCTATGTTTACTTGAGTTGCAATGAAAATGAATTACATATAAAAAGAATTTTATTTCTATCGGGAATAAATTTCACAGATTAGTCTACATCGAGTGTTTTCTGTATGAATTTCTCATCGCGAATTTACAGCAATCTACATAGCTAATTGACAATTCATTCATCTGTTTAAACACTCCGATGGGCGGAATACATTTAATGAGCAATTTCTTCTTAATGATTAATCTTCGAAAATAATACTCCTTCGTAGCTCATGAAAACAGCGTTTTATTCCATTCATTCTTTCAAATTGATCGTGCTCTTCGGGTATAACGCGAAGACAACAGACGAATGAAATTCCCTAATTTATTTACAACATTTGACTTTGTTTTTATTCAGATAATTTTAGATTTTGTGCTTTACCGTTTATTTAATGCGCATTTGAAAAATCATGTCCACGCTATCATGAGTATTTTGGGAGTTTCAGGAATTTAGGGGCTGGAATTTCAGGAAGTCCGAGGACGAGACGTAATTTATTGATATAATTGATTTATAAAAATCATTAGACACTGGCGATTGATTATAAATCACTGATATACGTACCACATGAAAATTTACACGTAAATGAATTTTTAGATGCATTCCGGGATTAGTCGGTCGACGGACACAAATAGTTTATTTAATCGATCAGCGGACAGAATAGAAAAACTCAGGGAATTCACATAAATTCTTCTCCCTTTTAGTGAACAATTTCTAATTAATTTCAATGATTCATTTATATTGGGACAAACAAAATGCTTGACTGTTGTTGGAATAATTAATCTAAAGAACTCTGAAATTCGAAGTAAATTAATTCTGATTTACCCGAGTTTTCCTAAAACACCTCGAGATCAGATAACGCTACATTTTACACTCTCTACTATAATCACGTAGCTAGGTAATGCTAATAAATTCGTCAGTGCAGTCATAGAAATAGAGAGGACAGAAGGAAATAACTCGAGCTGACACTAGATAGGAAATAGGAAGGGACTACATGGAAATCATTGATTCAATGTCATTTCATTAATTACGTCAACGATTTGTCTCGAAAATTGGAAAATCAGTCTGTGAAGATGTAAATACGAGGCTATGCGAGTGCTCATTGAAACATTGAAGATATCGGTATTTATCTTCGTTTTCGACGAAGAGATGCTTTGTAGAAAAATAATTCCGCACTGCTGTTAAATATGTTTTCCTTTGTGTTTGTCATAACTGAATTGTTCGCTACATCGATTTATCATACATTTATTTACCTGGGAATCGAAGGGATATTTGAGTGGAATGGAAGAGTGATACAGTGATAGTAATAATTAATACTCCGTTTATTCCACTCGAATATCAAATTAATCGATCAACTATTCACTAAGCATTTCACTACTCGTTGGGCTGACAGCTGTTGTCACGTCACTCATTGTTAGTGGTGCTGGAAGCAATAAGCTCGGTCTTTTTGATAATTTCTCGTCATACAAGCTAGAGATGCTCTTAGGCCGTGGTAAGACGATGCTCCAGGGGTCGGGGGTAACGCTGATAGGTTCATCTTGCTGAAGTTGTAATTGAATAGATTATTCAGGAATTTCCATAAAGAAATCGGCTGGCATTGCGAGATTAGTGGTTTTCAAAAGAATTCTTACCGGGAGATATTTGGCTGCTGGTGGTAATGGAGGTTTTAGCTGTGCAATATCACTGAGATCGCAAGCTGAAACAGCTGTGGATAAGAGTGGAGCTGGTGGCAAGGGTACATTCAGGGATGGCTCGTATCTCGGTGGTTGGACAGATTGCAGAGGGCTGTTTGTTGATGATCCGAGGATCCATCGGGCTATGCTCTCGCAGCAGCCACAGCAAATGTCCGAAATTCCCTGGCGGAGACCTCGATGAAGGGTTAAAAATAGAGCGGGATTCACGAATGCGTGAATGTAGGCGATGTGCAGGGTCACCTATCAAAACATGACAAATGGTGTTTAAACAATTGTTTACCCTAATTTTCGAAAAAAAACCGTTCTTTAATTTTTCTCAGGTTTAGCTATTTTTAGGGGATGATTTAATTAAATTTCTAGGTTCTTCGGATTTTTTTTTATTAGAAAAGGGGATGGGATGTTCTGAGGAGTTAATGTTCTTTTTGTTTTGGTCTTTGATCACCTCGTAGCCAGTGGTGTTGCCAATCACAGGGTGATGTACCAGGGTGACGAAAAAAAGTGGTCCCCAGAAAATAACATAGGCCGCCGTAATGACTAGGAACATCTTCACCCTCTGCACACCCTCGCGCTCCATTCTTCTCAAATAATTCCTCATTTTCCGATGCTCCTCCAGTGCACCGCCTCTCTAGAATTCGATATCAGTGATTCAATTGGATTGAGATTGAAGTATTCGTGTTGTCCGTGGAGATTTTTTTTTATGATTTTCTTTCTCCTTCATCTTTCGACGCAATTTTTCTTGCAATCTACAATTGAGTGATTGATTTTTCTCAAATTTTCGTTGAATAATTGAACAAAATTTTCCAGCTGCCATGGATGTGTCTGAGAATTAGGGAAATTTCAATGGAATTCCGTGGAAAATCTGAAATAGTGACGAAATACTTCCGAAATTTCAATCAAAAATTCAGCAATCAACTGTCCAAAAGCTTTTCTATGCCAACATTTCCGACATTTTTTTCGCCAGTGTTAAAGGGACTGTGTCAGTTGGCAGTAAAACTCAAGAAAGCTGTTAGATGAGCTGCGTTACTGTTTCTGACAGCCATAAAGCATTAAGGGACGTTTGGTACGCAGAAAATGTCACTGACGAATTTTACCTTTGGCGTTGTGCCATTCCTTTGATCAGTGGTTCCTCCATCGTTGACAGAATTTCCGGCCCTTTCGTGGCCACCCCCCGTAACATTGACAAGAGTTGTCACAAGTCCTGCCACACGAACCTGTAATTCGAAAATTTCTCAATTAAATTTTTTTTTAATCCAGAGAAATCGATTAATTGAACCACAAGACCAATTAACAATTCCATGTCAATAGTTGTTTGTTAATAGCCGATATTTTTTCATCAATTAGAATAATTTTTTGAAGGAAGAAACTTTTTTTTGGGTGTGACATGAGTGGGAATGAAAGAGCAAACAAGTTCAAGTGGATCTCCAGTGAAATGCTCAATGGATTGTTCCTGGTATGTATGAAAAGCACTCTAGCAGCTGCTTTGAACAAAGCAGTGTCTCCTCAGCTGGATGTACCAAATTAATTATTTCTCGGGGAGTTGTGAGTGAATGGAATTTACCATAGGATTATTTACTCACCGCTTCCACGTTGGCTTTCGTTAAGTCTCGATGTAATTTTCTTAGGTGAAAGAGTGTTAAGGATACGCATATTACGTTTATAACAATCCAGAGGACATTGAGTATATAATGTCTGAATGGTCCATGAACTAGAGGACAACTCGGTGCATTGTGTCCAGACTCGGTGTTTGCTGCTAATGCACCACTGAGAAACGTCGGTCCCAGGTTTATTGTAATGCTAGCGAACCATATCATGAATGTGCCAAACAGTACGCACTGCAAAGTTCAATGAGCAAGGGTTATTATCCCATTAATTTAGCACTTTTATCACCCCACAGGTGGCAATTTGTGCAGTGACATCAGGGATTCTTCTGCTGTTGTTTTTATGGCGTTGCAAATGACTCAAATTTTACGATGACAATGAGTTTTTAAGGAAGATTTACAGTCCATTGCCAATTCTGAGGGTAAATCGTGTCATAAATTTCTCTGTGTGGATTAATACAGAAAATTCATGAGAAAATTTACCGCAATGAGTGACAACTTGGTTTCGATCCCCAAGATATCGCGTAGATGACTCCCCAAGGGGAAGATTAAAAGGGTTGACGCAATCACTGTCATTGATGCAATGAGTTGATTAAAAAGAGGTCGGGCCGGTTAAATTGAATTGCACTGAATTTTCCATTCTCAATCAATCAATTACTGGTAAATTACCTGGGGTGAGTCCATTAGCAAGGGAGCGGTAAGATCGGCCTCTTCATCGCTCTCCGGAAATACCGGACTGTCATTGAGCACTGTTGTCAACATATTGACGGTGGAGACTGTCACCAGCAGAAGAAAAGCTGTCTCAACAAGTGAACACTTGTGCACTGGTTGACAGTTAAGAATACTTGATCCCAGTGGTAATAATATTGCCGCTCTAGCACAGTCTACCATTGCCTGATGGAATAATAGTCCCTGCGACCACCTGAAACCCAGACAATGGGACAGACTGTTATATCCACAAGTTTCTCTCGCCACAAAACGTGTTTGGGGGCTTTATATTATTCTGCTAGAGACAACCTCCAGGGAATGTCTCGATTAGCGTTTCCAATTTTTTCGTCCGCTGTCCTGATAGTTGACTATCGCTCTCCATTTTTGGAACTATTTTCACCCGAGTTTTTCGTGTTTTGTCAATTTTTTTTTTCAATATTAAAAATTTCTTAAAATTTCCGTCACAAAGACATCTAAATTTTCAACTATATGAGTTTGAATGACATTTCAATAAATTTTAATAAAAAATGGGCACTAAATTGCTCATTTATCTTGCAAATTCAGGGAAATTCAATAGATCGAAAGTTTAGGGAAATTATCTCTTGAATTTTGAAAATTTTTACGCTTCTGCATCGCCATATAGACCTGAAAGTAGAGAATTAACAAAATTTTCAAGGAATGAAACAAATGGGATTATAAAAAATTTCAAGTTCGCTTCCTTGAAAATATGGAAATCCTTTAAAAATTCGGTATTGGATTCAATGATTTGAATATTCTGGGGTGGGAATGAAATGATTTGAAAATATTGATTACATCGTAGTGAAGAAAATGGGAAAGACATGAAGTTTAAGGTGTTCGAGTGGTGATAGCAGCTCCTCATTTTTTGGCACCTTTTGAAGTGGAACGGAAAAAGGGGGGAGGGGGGGGGGGCTTAAACACATGCACTGCATCTTCTGCAAGGTTGAGCAATGATGGTGCAATGCTGCCTAAAGGCAGGATGAATTTCTTGATCATGAGAGGGCTCATCCCTCTCCCAGGGATTGGGGGTAGGTTTAATCTTCGGGGATGAATGTAGGGATCTGTGGCATCAAGTGGCTTTGGCTTATGCGCCAGACTACTCCAGATCCTCGGTATTGTGACAGACAGCCTGTCACACACCTGTCTACTGCTGTTAATGGCTGGTGGTATATCTGTGTTGACAGTGAGATGAATATACCGTGGGAAAACACAATTGCTGATTTTTTAGGGGGCATTACTCGTTATTATGACCGACGTGACACCACAACGGGTTTTTTCTGTTTTATTGCCGGATGAATTGGTTATTTCGATTTATTTTATTTTATTGATTGAAAGAAAGCTCATCCGATTTAAATGAATCGGAAAAGGGATTTGAGGAGAATTGAGGGAATATATCAGGAAATTGGGGGAATTAGTGAGATGAATTTTTCCACAATTTTTCGCACCTTCGGAGATGCCGTTTGGTTAGAATAAGAATCATCAAGATTATATTGGCACCCATTCCTAGACCACCTAGACTGAATATCACTGTTGCTTCTGTCACTCCACCTGGATGACATTGGAATACTTTTGTGGAGTTGGATGTCACGTTTCCGGACGCTCCAATACCGAATCGTAGATTTGCACCAATCATAGCAACAGCAGAGCCTGGAACAGAGAATTTTATTTTGTCATGGCTATTCAAAAAAAAATTAATTTATTTAATTTAACTCAGTTCATTTAAACAATACAATTATTGAATTTGATCTGCGGAGAGGAGTTTCCGAGAGAAAAATTTGAGGCGACGGGGAAAAATTTTAATTGAAAAATTGGTTGTGTGAAATTCACTCGAGTATGGAATCTGGTTTGAATTATTCACTCAAGTGTTGGAACAAATTTCATACATTTTTTTCGCACTCGTTTCACAGAAGTATTTCACTATGCGAATATAATATAAATGGGGATTGTGCTAAATCCGCAATAATGCTCACCATTTTCGAGTCAATCGAGTGTTCGATATTCATTGAATCAAAAAGGGGGAGAGGGACGAGAAAGTGTTCCATTGATCGCACATTCGCTCGTGCGAACGTGAGTTCAAGTGCTTTAGTGACGGGAAATAAAAATGAACTTTCATTTTTTACTTTTCTAGATTCAAATTGATATTCACTCCAGTTTTCGAGACTTCTATAAAACATAAAAAATATGTGGAAAGAATTTTTGGAAATTAACATTATTTATTGATTTTACGTAGACCCAATTTCTATTTCATTCATCTCCGAAACTTTTTCCTAATTTTTTTTACAACATAATGCCCTCATCCCGGCCATAAATTAACGTTCCACCAATAGGTATGAATCACCTTAATTGCCAATGAGTTTCACATCATTAGAATTATGCAAGAAATTGCGTCTTGTAGGGCGCGTACCCCTCGTAATTCATGATACGTAAGTAGAAAGAATAATGAATAGTAATTGAGAGGTGCAGAGCAGAAACGGAATAATGCTGACGCGAGAACAAATGGAAAAACCTCTGAACAGCAATTCTGTTTTACCCCCGGTAATTGGAAGCATTTGTTTATCAAATTCTTGAAATCGCCGAAATATCCCTCAGAAGGTAGTAAACAGAATATTTACCACCGTGCATTCGAAATAGACTTTCCAGAGTGTGAAGTGGAATAATTAAATTCGTTACCAATGTTTCACATTAAAATTGAATGATCATACGCATGAATATGCATTAGAAAACGGCAGAGATTTTCCATTCGTTTTCAGGTGTCAGGAGGTGCGACCCAGATGAGATTTCTCATTAACACATCTTAATTACTCCGGGGAGAGTTCCTCGAAGTTTGAAAATACTATATCCACGCATTTTACCTCGGTGTCATTTTTTTATCGGAACGATTATCTTTCTCCTCGGCCTTTATTTTCAGCAAAAAGCCTTTGTTAATTTGAATTATAGCGCGCACCTCCGGCATTATTACATCAACACATATTTTTCTTATATGTATACAAATTGTGTAAATTTAAAATTCGCTTCAAATGTTTTCAGAGCACTCCGCGCATTGTTTATCTGAATTTTCAATTAAAAAATGATGACATCGACACTTTTCCGGAATTCAAAAGATGCGAAATTTTTTCCTATTGCCTGAAATATTGAATTACATTCCATTTACTCAATGGTTTTTTTTTCAACAATAGATGTTATGCATTATGAGGGAAATTAATAATTTACACATGGAAAATTGAGGTGAATCGTTAAAGTGTTGAAAATATTTATTAGATTCATATTGAAATACTAAATGTGAAAATGTAATTTACCGTCATATGCGGTAAAAGTGGATTTTCTGTACTGATTGGATCCAATTTGGGATCCAATTATGCAGTCACAAGTAAACTCGTTAAAACAGAGAACACTCCTGCGGTCTCTTCCACTTGCTGCTTTATTCCTCACTTTTATTTTCTTCTATCATCCCCTGTCTCCATTTTTCCACTGGAATATTTTATGACTCATTCCAATAGTCTTGGATGCCAGTCTTTTCTGTCGGCTTGAAAGTTTAATTTACAGGCGAATTCACGATTAAAGTACTGCTTTTATTATTCAGCCCTCAATTCCATAGTTTTAATTACCGCCTTTTATTATACCGGAAGAGAAAAATAATGAGGAAATTCCCAGGAAAACATTTAGTTTCGAAAATAATTGCCCGAATTTCCTGATTTCTATGAATTTTTACGGAGTTTTACTGTTACAATTGGACTATTCATTCAAATCAAAGTGAATTCTTCCCTCATTTTGCTCACAACAATGAAATATTCTCTATTATAATTTTGTCGTCGTTACTTTGTAATTTGTAATTTGTCCTTTTGTATTTTCCACCCTTTATGCGATCTAAATAATTAAATACCCGCTACTGTGGTTTTTCAGTTTTTTCCATCTCAATGGTGAATTTTTTTTATTGTTCCAATGTTGAAATGCATTTTACACCATGCAAAAAGTCGTAACTAACCCCATCGTCGTGTGGCTTTGGCATGAAAGAAATTCAGGTGAAATGCTTGAGACATCAAAGGGGGATTCACCGCTCGGGGGCTCATGCCGGGAAAACCAACGAATTACTCGTTGCAAATTCTGAAAGACGACTCCTTAACGGCTACCTTACTGAGAAAACAAGGGCACTTGGTCTGTCCACCATAGTTAATACCGCAAATTAGACGGTGTAAACTGTTATTTCAATAGTTCAATTAATGGTTTTGCTAACGAGATTGATACTTCCAGCTCACAGAGAGAAACCATTTACTTGCGGTCACAAATCCTCAATTAATTTTATTGAATATTTTACTATTTTCATTCATAAAGACGGAAATTAAAGTTTAATTGATGATAAGAAAAAGGAGAAGTTTTTGAAAACTCAACTCATTAAATCTTCTCGAGAGTGGCTAATTCCAATGTTTTCAAGACTCCCGAATTACTCACGTCCTCGAATTGATTTCCTGCTATTTTTCACCGTGAATTCTTTATGATACAGCGACGAGGGTCTTTGGGTCACCGACTTTATCCGACTTTCCACTAACTAGTTGAAATTCTATCCAAATAGTCAATACTCGATTCTGTTGACGTTGGCATTAGGTTGTTGACTCTGTAAATGGCCCGGGAGCTCGAGGCTGTGTGAATATTAAAATTGAATTTTAGAATTCTGATTTGATTGAAAAATATCTGAGTTTCCCCCCTAGTAATGCTCTCTGGAATCATCCATTGTATTTTTGCACCTGCGTTTTTGTCAATTTTTTAACGACTTTATTGAAATTTAACAAATTCGAGAATTTCTATTTGAAATTTGGTAAATGTGGACATGAACTAGACATTTACCTGAAATTAAATTAAATTAATTAAGATTAATTTGCATTGACTGTAATGTTAAGGATTGCGGTAATTTTAATAACGATTCAGGAAAAGTGGAAAAGCTCGTTGGATGAATAGAATTTCGAGGGAAAATCCGCCTAACTCGTTGAACTGTCCCCCATTGCTAGAACTTGCGGACAAATTCTAGAAATGTCTATCTCCTCATGTCCCATATATACTCAATCGTTGAAATCCATCAAGCGTTATTGAAGCTTTTAGAAAGTGGTTTTTCATCGAGGCGTGAACGGGGAGTGTTTTTCCCATCTTTACAAAATACAGAGCACTAGTGGATAAAAGAAAACGTAAAATAGCGAAAAGATTTTTCATTACGTGAAAAGTTAACGTGAGAAATGAGATATTGCAATGGAGTTGGCGAGAGGAAGTTGCGGCGGGGGTGAGTTGGAGTGAATTTAAAATTAAGAGCAATGGAAACTCGAATTCACTACTTTTTCATTAAAAATTCATTAAAACTCAACTAACAATTTCCAATTCTCCGAAGCATTCGGATTTTCTAAAAATTTTCAGAGCAAAGTGCATACCGAAGTTAAAAGAAATTGTTGACAAAGAAGAAAACACTGACAAAAATAAAATTGATAAAATTTTTCTTCGGAGAACCTTGAAATTTCCCAGTGCATAAATTGCACTGTAATTTTCCGGAAAATAGGACCGTTTTTGTCGATTAACCAGTATTTGTAGTAAATTAAATTGAAATGATCTCGTGTATGTGCAGTATATACTGACGTCTTCAATGCTCATGGAAGTGGATGAAAAGCCCGTCATTACATTTGCTACATTTGCAGCTTACGTTGGTGAAAGCATTTCCATTTCAAAGCCATCACTCGGTTGATTCTGCCAGACAGTCGTTAACACACTGGCTATCTCTAGTTTTTGCTGTTATCTCGGTGTAGTTGGTGCAGGTGAATTCTGCCCTTTGAATTCCAGTCTCGAGTCTGACAACGGACAGTCTCTATTTACGATGGGTAATGTTTGGTACTTGTACCCGGTGATTAGAATGGGATCATATTGATCTTCAATTTACACCTGATCGATAAATTTCCCAAGTGACAGCCCAACGTGCATGTATCCAAGAAAATTTTTCAAATTTTATCCTCTCCAATTATACAAGCCATTTAAAAAATTATAGCGACACTCCACCATTCCATAAGACAAATGAATTACCGATAAATTACTGTCAAAAAAACCAAATAATAAATAAAAAATAAATAAAAAATAATAAATAAAATAATAAATAAAAAAAAATAAAAAATAATAAATTACTGTCAAAAAAACCAAATAATGGGGAATTTGAATGCTGATGAAATTATCTGAGGGTAAGTATCTCCGATAATAGACTATATATTCGAAAGACGTTGAAGCGATAAAATCCGTGCAAGTAAAGGGATACGTTTCCGATATCCACGTCTGGAGGCTTCGTAAATCCCTGGCTTTATAAAGCGTAAACCACGGATAGGAAAAAAAAACGAGAATAAAGAAAAGCCGGGGAAGGCATTGAGCCAACAGGGGAAGAATCATTTTCTCCGTGGAACGTGGTTTATCCAGTCCTGCAACGGCTTGATGTATTCCCCACGACTTTTCACCGTTCTTTTTTCATTAGAACTCCATTTTTAGTTTACTATTCCAATTGACTTTCATCGCTTGTTTATTGCAATATAAATATCGGGGTTGAAGGCAACTCTTCCCCTGTACGTTTCACTCCTCAATTGCTATTTAAACTTCAGAGTTTAAAATACTTCTATATTTTTAAACGAGTTATA